ACACACACACACACACACACACGCACGCACGCACGCACGCACGCACACACACACACACACACACGCACACACACACACACACACACACACACACACTTTTTATTGCTTAGCTCACGGCCCACCTGATGTTAAGTGGTTACCGGAGCCCATAGTCAATGTAAATGCCGCTGCCCACCTTGAGATATCAGTTCTAAGGTCTCAGTATAGTTACAACGGCTGCCCCACCCTTCAAACCGAAACGCATTACTGATTCACGGCAGATATAGACCGGGTGGTGGTACCTACCCGTGCGGACTCCCAAGAGGTCCTACCACCAGTAAACGTACACAAACATTGGGTAATCCTACCCTGTATCGCGACGGATAACGCCTACAAAGAGTCTTCAAGTCAATCAGATCTTGCCAGATAATTCTTCCGTAATGTTCACTAGTAAACTAGTAGCTTGTCTCGATTTTATTCTGCCCAATTTATCTATCTTCTATCTCTATATATAAAAATGAATTGATGTTCGTTAGTCTCGCTAAAACTCGAGAACGGCTGAACCGATTTGGTCTTGAATTCTTTGTGGAAGTCCAGAGAAGGTTTAAAAGGTAGATAAATATGAAAATGCTCGGAATTAAAAAATAAAAATAGCAATTTTGTTTTCCCTTTGATGTCCCCCCGTCGGACGGATTCCTTTTGTTTGTGTCTTTTATTTATCGATTGAGGCATTACGAAGTCTGCCTGGTCATCATGTTTGTGTACCAGTAATGTCTTCTTCACTGACTCGACATTTTCAGGTTGTTGTCGTCTGAAATAACCCTGGACGGGAGCGAGAAGGTGACGTCACACGGCAGCCAGACCGTCTGCGAGGCGGCTGTCAGACATCTCCTGGTGAGGGAGCGTCTGCATCATCCGTGCACGGACAGCGACGACGGCAAACCCAAAAGCTACGACCTAGTGCGCTTTGAAAATAAAGGTAATGTTAAAAACTATCGAGGAGTGAAAGCCTGTTTGGTTTGAGCGGCATTTCTCTTAATACGCGACATTTATTTTTGTAAATAAATAAGTGTTTTATTTGGTATCATTTTATCAACATATACATTATTAACCCATATATATATGATTACTGGTGGTAGCACCTCTTGTGAGTCCGCGCGGGTAGGTACCACCGCACTCCCTATTTCTGCCGTGAAGCAGTAACGCGTTTCGGTTGGAAAAGTAGGGCAGCCGTTGTAACTATACTGAGCTTAGAACTTATATCTCAAGGTGGGTGGCGCATTTACGTTGTAGATGTCTATGGGCTCCAGTAACCACTTAACACCAGGTGGGCTGTGAGCTCGTCCACCCCCCATCTAAGCAATAAAAAAAAATCGATGCTTTTTATTGAACTTCAATTAAGTTTACTCCGTTCGAACAGCTGAAGAAATTTTTGATATTCTTTCCAAATTTTACAGTTTAAATGGCTCCCGTGTAAAGATGCAAATGTCACTTAAAGCAAGCAGCCTTTCACCTCTCGAAATTTAAATATAAACACTATCAAATAACGGGTTCTTACCAGTTACCACGATTTTTACGAAGACTGCGGGTAGGATGTTGGAAGTAAAGAAATTTGTCTACCCTCTTTTTGGACCGTTTTTGGATTTTACTAGTGATGGAACTCGACGCGATCCGACAAGCTAACGGCATCTAAACTTTTTTACGAATATTTCGGAAAGGCAGCGGGCAGAGCCAAGCCGCTGCCTACCGATTAACTTGTATTTGGACGAAGGTTTTATTATAGTATGATGAAAATACGAGAAGTGGCGCGCTAGTAGTCTTAGCAAATGTGGGTGCTACCTTTGACGATAGTTACCGCCGAGCATTAGTTAAGTTTTTTTTTATATATTTCTTTGAATAGACAACATGAATACAAAACCGATTTGTTTAACTAACAAAAAAAAAACAGATTATACGAAAAAAACGTGACGCTGTTGAATAATAGTACAACAAATCTATTATTCAGTGACGACAATGATTTTAAACATTACGAATTTCGATAAACATTATTCGCAATTTCAAATGTAGCTAAATTGAGATCGATTTTCATTTTACAGAAGACTGCGATGGCTCGAGTCAAAGAAGTACAGCGAACTCGCTTGCCAACATCAGGATTAATTTCAAGCAAACATCCAAATATGTCAAAATATCCGGAGAAAACAAACTGGTTTATCCTACCACTGATATTGTGTGAGTATATCAATCGCTTTGTAGCGGGCAGCGGCTTCTCTGTGCCCCTGACATCGTTGACGTTCGTGAGCCAGGGTGACCATTCACCATCAAGTGAGCAGTATTTTTATGTATTTATTTATTTATTTCGTTTACTTTAGATTTTGCATCCATATTACATTCATTAACATTTCATATAGTATACCAGAATTAAATAAAAACATTAACTGCAATCTCGGAATAAAAGAAAAGAAATAATAATAATAATAAAACAAAAACTCAAAATTAACGTGAAAACTACCTTATCCTGTACTTATATATTATACTTAACTTACCTACAGTGGTAATAAATAAATAAAACTGACATTCCATTCAGCTGTTTCAGCCTTAGAAAGGGATAACTAAAGTTAAAAGAACCTGTACAGTCTGGGAATTTATTACATCATTTTTGCGTTCTAAGCGTTTCCCTTGGCCGTATGTAATCGATATTTAAAGAAAAAACCTGACTTTTTGGCGGGAACGCGAGGAGTGAGGTTGTGTGATTTCTTTTATTTTGTCTATCTAGTGTTTCTTCGGGTTTAAATGCGTAATAACGGTAGTTTATTAACTGGTTTATTAAGCTGTGAAAGTGCACAAATGTGGGAAAATGAAACAAAACCGCTGGACTTAGCTTCTCGGGATCCTCCAAAAAGTCCACCGAAAAAGTCTCAGTAAATGACCACCATTTTACTGAGATTATATTTCATCACATGTTATCTGTAAACTTAATTCGTTTTTAATCATTTGTATTATGTCGCGATTAGTTTCCTTCGTTTTTTATTATTCATAAAACTAAATAATTAAAGCGGCAAATTAAAAAAAAATCTTATTACTTGACGCTGGCTAATGCACAAACCGCGCCGGAGCCAAGGAATAAAGAAGAAGAAGAAAGAAAAAAAAACATGTGTGCAATTCACACGTGGTAGGAGTGAAACCTTCAAAAATTCAAATATAATTATCCTAAATGTCTAAGTATATGTAAAATTTTGTCATCAGTAAATAATTGTAAATCATCTTTTATAGTATGAGGTAGCACCCTCTGTGAATTGATATTTTAACTTCACGTATAATCCTAAATTAAAATTCACTACAAGAGGTTTCATACACACGTTAGTATTAAAAAATCTCATAGATGGCGCTGTATTAAAAAAAAAACACTACACTGAGAACGTCTAATGTGTTCTATCTCATTCTCTCGCCGGCTGAATCCTATACATTTATGTGTTTGTGTCTCTATGGACTTACTTTTTCGTTTCATCGAGTTTGAAATCACAACGATTCTAAAAAAGTTTCACTTCAAAAATCTCTAAATTCAAAACTTTTATTACAGAGTCAAATGCACACCGTTTTATATAGATGTCGACTTGACGGTGATCGATAGAATGTCAGCAACGTTCTTCGGGGGCTCATCTTCTGTCCCAAACGCTCCGGCCGCGCCCCCACCCTCACAGAACCAACTGAACCTGACACTCCAATGTCCTGATCTCAGCGCTATACTTAGGTGTGATTTTACTCCAATTATACTGATTTATAGGTAACTAGATGTTAGCCGCAACTTCACGCGCGCTGTCGAGAGTAAACGTCATTTAATTTTTCTAAAGATAAAAAAGTACTATGTTTTTGTTTTTCGGGTCAATGTTAACCTACATCACTCTCCTGACCTAAAACTATCGCTTTAAAGAAAACATGTTAATTCTTAGTTCAGAACAGACGTAAGGAAAGAAGTATTCCTTAAAATCCGAATTCTGATCACGCAGAAGACAGTCGCCGTCGACGCCCTTACGGATCTATCAGATCCAATAACCCTTGCATTAGACGCCTTCAGCTCTAACACTAGGAGCAGGCTTGGGGACTCCGGTAATCGTACTCGTCGAACCCAATATAGAGTTCGACGTGCAACCTAACCTTTAGATCAGCCCGTTGAGTTTCTCGCCGGGACTTCTCAGCGAGTCGCGATTCCGCTCCGGTAGTAGATTCATTCGCGAAGCAGTTACTCTTGAATTGTAAGTCTCCTTTGGAAGTGTTCGGGTAGCTGTTAGCAAATCTCTTGAGGTGAGCCCTTGCTCGCCCACCTGTCCTAGTGAAGCTAGAAAAGCCTCTGGGCTACCAGTAATCCCTCAAACGTAAAAAATCGCCTTAAATCGCCTCATTAGGGGTAACCGGGAAGACCGGACCTACGTGTGAGGGCGCTAGGCATTGCAGAATTTAACTGAAGGCACAGTACTCGCCTCAACCAGACTCTAGCCCTTTCGTTTGCCGTCTCCAGAATAGCGTCCAGCACGTGTAGAATGAGGCCGGTTCCGACAACGGTTCCAATACACTGAACACATGTTGTATCCAGGTTCCCGATAGCGGATCTCCGTGCTGGTATCGACCACGAGACTCGTCGGGTGCGACCCGACTACCTCACGTTCAACTTCCAGAACGCCACGATAAGCTCCAGCCAATCGCCGAGCATACGACCCCAGCCGACGACAATGACAGTGAAATCCACGTGTTTGGATGTGTACTATCATGTATGTATTTTTTTTGCTTATTCAAACTTTTTCGTCTGTGTGTTGCATGTCACGTGACGGTCGGCCGCGGAGTAGGGATAAAGTGAAAAGCGCTCGTCAGAGCAGCCAAGACCAATATGGCGGCGTCTATAGTTTGCAGCAGCTGACAGTGTAGTGTATAGACTATAATAAATAAATAATAAATAAATAAATATTTACTAACAATCACGCCACGTTAACTGGTCCCGTGATAAGTTCGTAAAGAACTTGTGTTACAGGTACCAGATAACGGAAATAAATGTAAGATTTTTATTATACACATACATATATTTAATATACATCCATAACCCTGGAAAAGACATTTATATTTATCATACAAATATCTCNAAATAAATATTTACTAACAATCACGCCACGTTAACTGGTCCCGTGATAAGTTCGTAAAGAACTTGTGTTACAGGTACCAGATAACGGAAATAAATGTAAGATTTTTATTATACACATACATATATTTAATATACATCCATAACCCTGGAAAAGACATTTATATTTATCATACAAATATCTCCCCTTGGCGGGATTCGAACCCGCGACCGCCTTCTGTAGTGACCATGTCACTTACCACTACACCAGACGGCCGTTAAATAAATACACCATTACTCATTTGTGCCAGTGCTCCACGCTATTTTGTTTGTTTTTGTCAGTTTTTAATGTAAATGTTGTTTGTCAGAGTTAAATGTCTATAATGTGAAAAAAGTTCATAAAACCACACAATCCTTTTTTTTTCTTCACATCGATACAAATGTTTTGAATGCCCAAACAGGTAGACACTCGCTGAAGTCACTCTAATTTAAATTAATTCTAATCGCAACTTCGTAGTCCCGAATTGTATCACTCAGTATCATCAAAGTCTCGATAACATCATAATCGACGATCAAGCAGCTGACCGAAATGTATAAAAATTTAAATTTAAGAAATAAATTCAGAGTTCTTCAATTTCTTTGTGATGTTCTAAAGTATTATTGTGTCCCTTTCTTACAAAACATGTTTTCGTTTAGCATTCGTATTATTGACGTGAACATTGACGTCAATATTTAATATAGTGTGCTGCCTGTCAAGCATCGATTTAAAATCAATAATAACTCGCTAATTCGGTCATGGTAATATGTATATAGAAATAAAATTAAAGACATCTAAATATTTACTTGGGTTTCTTCTAGAGTCGTAGACATGAGAACGGTACTTTTACGGTTTAATCTCCCGTTTTTTTTATTGCCATTATATTTTAAAGTTTCGAAGTATTTTGTATAAATACAGTTTTGTATATACAGCATTTATGGTCACGGACGATTATATGTTATATTATTATATTAATATTATGTTAATTACCGCCGTAATAATAAATAAAAAAACACGAATTTAAATTTAAATTACAAAAACATTAACATCATTACTTCAATATTATTCATAATTGTAGGAAAATGACATTTTGCCGGCAACGCATATAGCACGTGCCACGATTGACAACAATCCATTTGAAGGCGACATTTTGAGAGGACACACCGCAACTGCACCTTTACCAACGTATGTATTTTAAAAAACGTTTGTCTATTGTAAAAATTGTCACATGATATTCCACAGATAACACAATTACAAACCATAGACCATTCTATCGTTTCCATTTCATATAAGCATATTGTGTAATTTCATTAGGTCTTTACTTATTTATTTTTTATTGCTTAGGTGAGTGTATGAGTTGATGTCCCACTTGATGTTAAGTGGTCACCGGAGCCCATAGACATCTACAACGTAAATGCCGCCACCTACCTTAACATATGGTCCCAGTTTTTACAGTACAACGGCTGCCCCACCCTTTAAACTGAAACGCATATAAATATGATTGAAAGCCCCCTGTCTATAATGAAGATACCAATTTTATAAGTAAATAATTAAATACGCTATCATGACTTGAAGGAAGGAAGAAGTAATTCCCGTAATCTTTCGTATTGGAAACAAAAATTCTATATCTACTAGTATCACGAAGCAGTCATAAGCTCTGGTTTGAAATATGCACACAGACGCTTCGACCTAACGTCTCAAAGTGGGTAGCGGCATTCTGTTCGTATGTCCACAACCTTGGCAAAACATCATCATCATCATTCTCTTGCCCTTCTCCCAGTCACTTGGAGTCGGCGCAACATGTTTCTCCTTCCATACTCTTCTATCATATACCATTTCTTTGCTCACTCCCCTCTTACCCATATCGTCTTTCACGCAATCCATCCATTTTTTCTTAGATCTACCTCTTCCTCTATATCCTTCCACATTCATAGTTAACATTCTCTTACCAACCTCATTTTCATTTCGTCTCATCACATGTCCATACCATCCCAAACGCGCACCTCTCAGCTTCTCTGTCACAGATGTCACTTTCAGACTTCCTCTAACATATTCATTCCGTGTTCTATCCATTCTCGTTACTCCACACATCCATCGCAACATTCGCATCTCTGCTGCATGTAATCGCCTTTCAGAACAACCTTGGCATAACATCGAAAAAAACCTTTTTTTTTTTTTATAGAATCTCATTGACATTTAAACCTCGGAGCCCTAGTAAGGGTCCGTTCGACTCGCTCACGGACGAGAGCTCCTTCGAACCGGCCGCGAATACAATGACAACGTCAATGTACATCATGAACAACTTGCACAACTCATCGCCGAGCCCGTTCAGCGGAAAGAAAACCGCTCATCAGAGCGTTACTAAGCACGAGGGCGGACCTCAGCAAGGTCAGAACTGTACTTTTTTTTATTGCTTATATGGGTGGACGAACTCACAGCCCATCTGGTGTTAAGCGGTTACTGGAGCCCATAAACATCTACGACGTAAATGCGCCACCCACCTTGAGATATAAGTTCTAAGGTCTCAAGTATAGTTACAACGGCTGTCCCACCCTTCAAACCGAAACGCATTACTGCTTCACGGCAGAAATAGGCGGGGCGGTGGTACCTACCCGCGCGGACTCACAAGAGGTCCTAGCACCAGTAATTACGCAAATTATAATTTTGCGGGTTTGATTTTTATTACACGACTAGCTGACCCGGCAGACTTCGTAGTGCCTCAATCGATAAATAAAAGACCTAAACTTTTGTATAAAATAAACTTAAAACAAACAAAAGGAATCCGAGGGGGACATCTCTAAGGAAAAACAAAATTATTATTTTTATTTGATTCCGAGCATTTTCATATCTATCTACCTTTTAAACCTTCTCTGGACTTCCACAAATATTTCAAGACCATAATTAGCCAAATCGGTCCAGCCTTTCTCGAGTTTTAGCGAGACTAACGAACAGCAATTCATTTTTATATATATATAGATGTTATTCCTTCACCGTGGAAGTCAATCGTGAACATTTTTTTTACTTTTGCTTTTGTCCTTCCTGTTGTCATAATTCGATAGTTTCAGATCAAGAAGAAGAACTAATAGTTCCAGGTAACGACGAAGAAATGTCCGAATTCACAACGAATTCAATAGATTTATCTTTGATACACCTCGAATTCGATCTGCCTATATTGAGTTTGCAGTTAGAGTAAGTAGCCTAATAGATTTTTCATAATATTTAGATGCAAATTGAATTCACTGTTCCGTAACATACGCATAAGAATTTTATCTGTTAGTGGCACGAAGAAAATGATGTTACGGACAAAAAAGTAAAATGCTCACCCAACTGTGTTTTTTATTTGCAAATGCACGTGCCACTGAGGCTAAGCGCATTGGTAAATAAATTTGAAAGAAATTATATTCAAAGATTATTTATACTTGTACAAAGTCACACAGATTTTAACTTGGACTTATTTGTCGTGATGTAGCTTTGCTCTGCCCTCTCGCATTGCTGAAGTCCATGGGCGACGGTAACCATTCACCATCAGGTGGGCCGTACCCTCGTCTGCTTAATGGGGCAATTAAAATATATATATAAAGTGATTATGGATTTTTACATCGAACCTTAACTTATTCATACAACGAATACTTAATGTCGTGTTAACTCAATTGTGTCGCTTATCAACTGAGTTTTTCAAGCCATATTTATTGTTTTTTTTTAAACGTCTATTATATTAGCCGGCAAACTTCTTGAGCATTAGTTGACGTAGTGGGGGAAAGTTCGCACATGGTACACTCACGTTCAAAAACATTATTTAGTAACGATAGACTTTTCACTGTACCTACGCAAGTGTACTTTTGGGAGCAAGCGGAACGAAGGCGCGGTGCGGGGCGCAAGGTTCGACTGACCTACCAATAACGCGATCGATACGATCTCCTCTGCCGTCGCACCCCGCCCTCGCCACCAAAGTGATCTAAAATTCGGTTCTGCGCAGTCAAGGTTATTTGCTCAAGAAGTTTGCCGGGTATTATACGAACATTTTCATATATTTTTTTGTGTTTACGTGTAACTCTAACTTTGTAGTGCTACCATCTAGCGTAATCTACTAAAACTAAAGCGAACTGAATTCCAATTACACACATACTATTTATATTTCAGATCGAAACAGCTATACGAGATAATCTACAATCGTATTAATTCGGATTTATTGCTGTGGGAGCCCCACGTGACTAGCGAAGAGGAATTCAACAAGCTTGCATGCGGTCCTATAAATCCAGCCTTCGGTACCTGTAAGGGAAGCGGTTATGGTAAGTTTCCGTGGCTACCTTTAATCGATTAGCATTATGGTATTGGCCAGGTGACCGAAATTCGACCGTAATCACTGACACTTCAAGACTCAATTTCATTTAATTTGTTAGCAGTAGTAGTTTCATTTTTTCGACTTAAAAGACGAAGGTATCACACCATACAGCCTAATCCTTTGAAAATTGTGTTTTATGAAAAATGATATGGAGCGAAACGAATAAATCGATACTAAATAGATACTGTTGGCAGATTCCGCTTCACACAGACACGATCTCATTTGAAAGGCAAAACGGCTGCTATCCAGTCCTATGTGATTCAGAATCGATTCGGAGGCCGTATTTTATCGATACATAATGGATATCACGATTATAATTTATTTCGGCCATCGATTATACGTGATTTAAATTTTGTCACCTCGATCAATCACTCACCGTCATCTAGCTCCAAACCACAGGATTCGATGTACCATGATCATCAAAGTATTGATTTATGATATAAATATCTTCAAATATTTTCAATCGTAGTCAATATTACGGATCTATTCACCCTTAGAACACATCAACTTTTCACATCAGAACTAAAATGTTTTAAATGTTTTACGGGTGGTAGGACCTCTTGTGAGTCCGCGCGGGTAGGTACCATCACCCTACCTATTTCTGCCGTAAAGCAGTAATGCGCTTCGGTTTGAAGGGTGGGGCAGCCGTTGTAACTATACTGAGACCTTAGAACTTATATCTCAAGGTGGGTGACGCATTTGCGTTGTAGATGTCTATGGGCTCCGGTAAGCACTTTACACCAGGTAGGCTGTAAGCTCGTTCACCCATCTAAGCAATAAAAATTTTAAAAATGCATTTTTACAACATTACTTTTTGTGTCATGAACTTAAATTAAAAAACAAATTCAATATACAATACATTAAAATTAGATCTGGAAGTCATAGCCTTTTCACAGTGGTCCCAAGAACACAGAATATTCAACAATAAACCTATTCTAGATTCCGATTCGAATAGCACGTCATCGGAGGAAGAGCACAACTTGTACTACTCAACGTACGATAATAGATTCAAGAAAGGCTTAACTAACAATAAACCGGAGTACGAAACCAGAGACACGCACAATTTCTGTTTGACCTTCAAAGTTGGCAAAGGGTTGCTCACAATCTATTCTCCAGTTAGGGTAAGTTTTTTTTTGTTTTGCCATTTAATTAGATAAGTATTGATAGTGTCTTCATATACACTTAGTCTTGGTGGCTTTTTACTGACGAGAAATAGATTTTTATAGATCAGTAACGATCGACATCTTGTGTCAAGTCGTGCGGTCGCATTACAGACATCGGAAACCGCTTAACATAAAGCGTGTCACTTGCTCGTTGACTCATTAAAAAGATGGCCTCTTTTATTAAATTATTTGTTCGTATTAAACCTATAAATGCATTACCTATGCAAATCTATACATATAAATAAAATTAGTGTCTGTTTGTAGTATTGAAATAACCGCTTTTTACTGCATGCATATGAACATATATACGGTACATACACCAAAATAACATTTTTTACCATTTTTGTCTGTTTGTTCCGGCTAATCTCTGGAACGGCTGGACCGATTTTGATGAAACTTCCACTAATAGGTAGCTGATGATATAAGGAGTAACTTAGGTTTTACTTAGTACTTTTTTTAGACTAGCTTCGCCCCGCGGCGTCACCCGCAGTTATTGTCGTACCGCGCTCACCATGGCGGGCTTCACCTATCAATCAACAATAAAATTTTATGTTTCCGAAGCGAAGCGAGGGCGGTTCGCTAGTCTTAAAAAAAATATTAATCATAATTATCCATATTCTCAGGACAGCAACAAACGCGTGGTTCCAGGTCAAATGGGCGAATTGGTACTCGAAGCTCACAACCTATCGATGTGCCACGTCAGCGGTCTGAAGGGCAGACCGAAGACCGCTCAACTGTGTCTCAGAGCCCAGAAGACTACGCTTTATCATGAATGTAAGTAAACATTAAATTTGAGCATTTACATGCAATGAGTTCTTCGCTATATATACACTTATCAAATTAAAAAAAAAAAGGTTTTTATACAGAATTTTGTGACATTGTCTGTAATGATTTTTTTTTTTAGTAAAAACAATTTGTTGCTTTGCCGTTATTCTTAGTGTTGTCAGAAATCACGAACTAAAACTACCATCGAAAATTAAGATAAGAAGTATCTTAATTAAGATAAGAAGTATCTTAATTTTCGGAAAAAAAATTATAAACCTCTGTAACACTAACTTATGCCAGTCCTACGTAATTGTACTGATCTTAATGGCAGGTGCAATTTGGGTGCTCAATAACTGTCTATGTCCACGATCCGACCTGAAGGGCGATCAGGTTGACCGTAACCTCATAATATGTTTTCGAAGGCAATTAAGATAATCTATGATTTTATCCTTAATATCTATATATTAATACGCGAAGCAAAAACTTTGTACCCCTTTGTATTTTTACGAAAATTACGCGGACGGAGGAGAAATTTCCCGCACTTATAGAGAATATAGAGGAGTGCAGAACGTTAATATTTTTTTTTAAATTATGCATAAAAATACTTTAAATCAATAACAAAAAACATTACACACACTACCATGTATAGTATTTGACACACACACACGCATGCGTACTCTTTGTTTATTATCAAACTTTTGTTATTGCCTATAGTCTGTGTTCAAATTGAGAATAGATTAAATATTGTTGGCCTTTATTAATATTTGTCCAAAATGTAGTCTTGGCGAAATCTGTGATTATAGAAGTATAGGCTTTGACAATAGAATCATAATTGTGTACAAACTTATAATTTCAATTAATTGAATTTCGACTACCGGAGGACCACTAGTAATATTATATGAGCCGTCGCGTAATTTAGCGGCAAGCTTATAAAATCATAAATCGATTACAGCACTCATAACTATACCATCGGGGAAGCCGCCATTACGACTCTACGGCACAGTGTTGCCATCACATCTGAAACCTACTATTTACCCGTCAAGCAGAGGAGTTATAATAAAGGAACGATTGCAAAGGAAAGACATGTTCACAATGGCTTTGAAGGTGGACCCGGATTCTGAAACACCTAATCTGAAGGTAAAGGACTTTTTTTATGCTATAAGTGAACATACAAATTCGTGTTGGTGCTGAGAGGTTGTCGCATAGATAATGAAGCGTCTTAGGCCCCTCTAACTTGCTTTGCAATTCGTATCTAGCGATGCACCGGTGTTCGAATCTCAGGCGGGCACCAATTTTTCTAATGAAATACGTACTGAACAAATGTTCACGGGTGACTTCCACGATGAAAGAATAACAACGTATAGGTAATAAAAATCAAACCTGCAAAATTATAATTATAATTTGCGAACTTATGTAAATTCATGACGTCACCACAGACAATCTGCATAGCTCTGGGCATAGAGCAAGCGACGCTGCGTTACAGAGGCGACAAAGGAATCTCCTGGCTGACCCAACTGATGGACGTGCTCGACGTACTGGATTTTCCTGTCCCGGGATACACCCCGTCCACTGTGCTCTCGGAATTGCACGTGCACGTCGTCGACTGCGCCATCGATTACAGGTACCACACACCAACATACAGATATTTGAATAGGATAAACTGATGATAGGAACTCTTGTGAGTCCGCACGGGTAGGTACCACCGCCCTGCCTATTTCTGCCGTGAAGCAGTAATGCGTTTCGGTTTGAAGGGCGGGACAGCCGTTGTACTGTAAAAACTGCGAACTTAGAACTCATGTCTCAAGGTGGCGGCATTTACGTTGTAGATGTCTATGGGCTCTGGTAACCATTTAACATGAAGTGGGCCGTGAGCTCGTCCGCCCACCTAAGCATTAAAAAATCGTTACCAAGAAAGATTAAGTTACCAAGTAATATGTATACATTATTATATGTAATGTTTACTGTATGCACTGGGTATGTGTTCCTAATCCTTCTTTCCTTTTGCGGGCCGGGCCTACTGGTAGAGATTTCATCATTAAATAAGTAGTGCCCTTGTACTCTTGTATCCTTATTGTCGTGTTTCTTCTAACAGCTGTGTGTACAAAATATATTAAATAAATAAATAAAGATTAACGTCAAGCCAACTGTCGGATATAATTCTTATTCTCTATCAAAACTAAACTACCGAGGTTAAGATTACTAACCATTAAATTCGTGGTTAAGATTATCCTATCATAAACTTAGTTATGGACTGCCTCGATGCAAGATTGTGATAACCTTCTTATTTTTTTTTAAATATGGCAATCGGTTTCTTTTTTTTTCTTTTTTTTTATTTATTTACGGCCAATGGTTACAAGACCTTATAGCCTTATCGGTTTCTTAAGATACCATTGTTGCCAGTGGCCATATGAAAATTTATATGCAGTGTAATGAAATTATGTTGATTCGTTTAAGACTGTACTCAGTTGGCATGAAATTATAATAGATGAAACGAAATGAGATAGAATGAAATATGGTCTCAGTAAAATAGTGATTATTTACTGAGACTTCAGTGGATTTTTTTGAAAGAATCCAAGAAGCAGTAATGCGTTTCGGTTTGTTGGGTGGGGTAGCCGTTGTAACTATACTGAGACCTTTAGAACTTATATCTCAAGGTGGGTGGCGCATTTACATTATAGATGTCTATGGGCTCCAGTAACCACTTAACACCAGGTGGGCTGTGAGCTCGTCCAACCATCTAAGCAATAAAAAATAAATAAATAAAAAGCCACGGTCAGGGACTTTGTTTCATTTTCCCACATTTCTGCACTTTAAAAGTTGCTAAATGGTTAATAAAACGCCGTTATTATATTTTTGACACTAAACATACCGTAATGGGTCAAATGACCCATTTTGAAATTTTGCATTAAAAATGCACGTATCATCTTATTGCTTTCGACTACATGACTTTTTCTTACCAATTAATCTACAGTTGTTATACAATTTTGTTTTGTTTTGTTTATTTTGAGTCATTCTTGTCATATACCGTTATCTACCCGCTATGGTAGAAATAGATACCAGTAAGCGTTGGTATGATTAGTGTTAAACCTAAAGAAAGACTAAATTTACAAAATCAAATAATTCACACAACTTCCCTCCTTGCGTTCTCATCAAAAGCCGATCGATAACTAGTCGTGTGGGCTTACAATGTATCGAATATTAGCTGACCCGGCAGACTTCGTTGTGCCTCAATCGATCAATAATGGACCTAAACATTTGTGTAAAATAAACTTAAAACAAACAAAAGGAATCCGTCCGACGGGGGACACATCAAAGGAAAAACAAAATTGTTATTTTTATTTAATTCCGAGCATTTTCATATTTATCTTTTACCTTTTAAACCTTCTCTGGACTTCCACAAATAATTCAAGACCAAAATTAACCAAATCGGTTCAGCCGTTCTTGAGTTTTAGCGAGACTAACGAACAGCAATTCATTGTTATATGTATCGAATATTTCTTTTCAGACCACTCTACCTTCCGATCAGAACGGTGGTAACGCTGGGAAACTTCAGCGTATCGAGTAACCTGATAGCCGCGACAAACACATCGTGCCTTCGCTTTCTAGCACAGGAGTGTACGCTGTTTCTGTCCTACTTGCACAACACTAAACCGAACACGACCGTGCCCCAAGACGACGACAAACAGCCAGATGTTAATAAAGACTACATTTGCGTGATCGATGTTGGAATATTCGAGCTCTCTTTGAGAATGGAGGACAAAACTAACAACGTAAGCTTAAAGTGGTTTTTATTGAAAAAAAACTAATGCTGCTAAGTCTTTCTTAGTTTCTCTTAATCATTGGCAGTAGAAATACAAGGTTAGAAAAGTATATGGATAACCATTTAACATACTATACTATACTGAGACCTTACAACTTATATCCCAAGGTGAGTGACGCATTTACTTTATTGATGGTCCACACATGACACATCTAAGTAATAAAAAAAGAAAAACGTTGCAACGTCTTGGCGTCCGTTAATGACGGCGACCACTAACAACCAAGTGGTCCGTCTGATCTTCTGTCTGTAGTGGTGAAAAAAAACATGGAATTGTAGCTTTTATGCAGTCTTATTTATAGTTGATCTATTGTAGGTCGAATTTAACTGTAGTCAGAGAATTATAAATGTCTTAATGAGTACCTGTTCAACATGCCTGCTCCTATATACCGCTTTCGAAATTAATAGATTTAGAGATTAATAGCACTCGCGTAAACGCAAAACACATTGCACAGTCGAGTATTGACGATAAATTTAATTTACTTTTCGTAAACCCGCAATGAATACGTACAAAACTTGGGAGTCGACGTCTTCACTATCTGTACCCCGCATAGCAGCAGACTAGCGCGTTATCTGATTTCCAGAAAGAACCAGAACGCATTTTTAAAGCTCCGCTTAAAATATATATAAGGACTAATACAACATAAAAAATATTACAAGCTATTTACATTACAACGAATTCGTTGCTTTCAACAGCCAAACGATTACCCACAAGTGGATCTAAGCGCATCAAACAACATGGTGACAGTACACACTTGCTGGGACTCTGCTAGCGCCCTCTGTCGACTCCTCACGTACGTGGCCTCAGATGGAGACTCCCAGCCTCCGTATGATGCTTCTTCAAGGCACACCAGTATATGTTCTGATCATCCTTTGGAACCATTAGTTGGTATGTGTTGTTATTATTATTATTGTTCTATTGTCAAAGGCCAAATTTATGTTTGCTTTCACGACATATCATATCTACTTAAGTTCTTTGAAATATTTTATTATTAATCGATACGTTTTTTGGGCAGGCTTGGAAAATAGACCAATAGAAGAAATACGAGAGCTGTCTCCGAGCGAGATACAGCAGGTCAATGATCTGATGGCTGAAGCAATGAAGGAGAGTCCAAACACAACGCGTGAGATATTTTAATTTTGAATCATAGGCATTTTGATCTCCCCTTGCTTACTAGGAACGTCGACATTAATATAATCTGTAATCTCCCTGTAATCTGTAGTAGGGAAAGGCAGAATAGTTTTGTTGGCTTAAAGGACTTGTTTCCAAGCCAGTAAAATTTATTAAAAAAAAGAATGGTTTTGTGGGAATTTTTGGCGGGAACGCGAGGAGCGAGGAACGCGGCGGGAATGATTTGTTTTATTTTGTCGATACGATGTTTTTTGACGATAGCAAAACGAAAGGGAAAACTTTCAGATATACATAAAATGAATTGGAGTCCGCGATTACGGTCGAATTTCGATCGTGTTTCCAACACTAGTATTCTGAAAGAACCCGCGGTTGTACGACCGTCTTCATGTTCGTCATGACTTAATATCAACCTTTCTTAAGAATGACCTAGACAGGCTTTAGATTGTGCACTGATTTGCAGAGGATTTGAGAGAATACAGTTAGTCCGCCCGGGACATGGCGATACTTAACATTATCTTGACACGCAATTGAAGACATGAGTGGATGAAGGACATATGATACAATTTGTTAATTTTGAGAAAAGGGCAATAAACTTTTGTTACTTGTACTTTTTCTTCGTACATAACTCCTTCATCACATGAAATTTCTAAAAATAGCCTTTAAACCTGGAGTTTTAAGGTCTAATATGGTTTATAGGCACATAACCCATACATTCAATGTAAAAACTCAAAAATCTTGATCCACTCATGTCTTCAATTGTATCCGAGTGGCAGATCCAACGCATCTGAAACTTTAGTATTACGCTTCAAATTGGAAATGCGACACTAAATACCCCTTAAAACTTTGACAAACGTTAGATTAACATATTTTGAAATAAAAGTATATTTACAATTTAATGTCTTATGTTTGAAATAGCTATTGTATGTTTGTAACCTCTGTTCGCAGTCGATGAAGATGATCTGAACAGTTCGACAGAGAAAGAAGGAGTAGAGATATTTTTCTTCCCGGACGAGTCTAATACCAGACGGAGACTGCCATCGGAGTCTATCGAGCCGGATGCGGAACCTAAATCGATTGAGTTCGACGAGGGCGGGCAAGAGATCCAGGAGAAGCCAACCAGTCAAGTGGCAAAGGATTTAGGGGACCCCACTGGATCTCCCAAAACCCCCCAAAAGTCCAGACGAAAAAAGGTACATTATTTTGAGATCCTTCTTACCCTTCCCAAGAATAGCTTAGATAGGGTTTATATTATATTTCGGTGGTATATGATAAGCCCGCACAAGTGGGTCCCACAATCTTGGCCTATTCTGCCACGAAGCAACCATGGGTTCTGACTTAAATAAAGAATTCCGTTGTAAGCCTGAATACAGCGAAAGACACGTTGGTATCTTTGGGCCCTTGTGACCTCGTAAACAGTTGTTGAAAAAACATCAGTGATGCTACCACTAAACCAATCTTTCGCCTTTGACGATAACGCCTCCTTGTGAACGCTGCAAGCCTAAAGGGGGGCGTTAAGAGAGCAAGAAAAAGGGGGGCGCTGTGTAGAGGCTCAGGAGGTGATTTGCAATTTCATCTAGGAGGACTCTTAGACACCGACTGAGCTCTCGCTACAGTGCTTTTTTTTTTAAATTGGGCGCTAAAAAATAATTTATTCTCAAAGTGGGCAGTAGACAAAATAAGTTTGGGAACCCCTGCACTAAACGCTAAATATAGTAAACATACATGGCTACCATACGAACTGGTTGAATTAAATTAAAATGTCTACAGGCGACACATATATGTACATAATATCGTTATCAATACGACGTGACTTAACCTAAAACCGTTTTCGAAAATAATTAAATAACAAGTTTCACGTTATCGATAAATTTTATTAACAACATCCGTTAAAAGCAAAATTTTATTGCTATACGCTGCAATTACATGTTTTATATTATTTTATATTAACTTACCGAATATTAATTAATTTGTTAGTCATACTTTTTTAGTGTCAATTTTAATTAAATACGAGATTGTTTAAAAAAATCACTTGACTTAATAGATATTATATGGTTTATTAAATAGGCATTTTGATATTCTTTTCTCCAGAAGTACATAAAAATTATGAATAATGTTAATTTCCTAAGGGCAGGCGGCTCGGCACTTTTCTAAAGTCTCAAAATTATTAGCATTCTGTTGGCAACCTCCGTAGATGAATTTAACGCATTTGTGCTTCGACGAATCGTAGGCATATCTGTAAGAAATAATTTTATCGCAAGATAACATTATAATCTCAATTAGGGCTTATTTAAACCGGGATAGTAAATTTAGCGTGGTTCACTAACAAGGCCTCTGTCAAAGCACCGATTCATTCATTGAACTTTTAAGTTCGACAATGCATTCGTTTGCGGACTATTTTCTTTTCACTTTCATCGCCAGTCTTTTGAATTTTAGAATTATTAAAAAAAGAACGATTGTTTGAAAAAAAATCAATTATAAATACCAAGAAGTCTGAAATTTGGCAGACTAACTTGGTGGCGAATTAGTTACCGACTTTGACCTCCGGGCCGAGAGTTGTGGGTATGTTTCTAACGTAAAGAAAAATCGTATGATGATATCGTATTAATCGACAAGTCTATTTGCTCTTTGTCCGGGTTTTTAATATATATTTACAGTATAAATATTTATATATATTATTATGTATTTATTTAAACGCATATAATGATGTATAACCTTTACGGACTCTTAAGTGAGATAGGAGGTGAATTAAAAGCGTAGAAATAAAATAAAATATTACCTTTCAAAATAGCCCCTGCAAGGGCCCGTCTTTGCTGGCAGCGAACAATCAGCTGAAAACAAAGGTACAGTCGCGTCCATTATGATTTACTTTCAAATACTGGGACTCGGAACCATCTATGTGAAATATAAGTTCATAACATAAAACAGGTTGTGATGTTGTGAAAAACCAATTAACATTTTTTTTGTACAACGAAGGAAATTCGCTACCATTATTTTCCGTTCATTGACGATGAAAATGTTAAAAACTCAATAAGTTTTGATTAGCTTTCGGCGAACTTATTTTAAGCCCGGTACGATGGTAATAACAGCGTCAAACACGCACACAATTTAAAATATTGATACTGAAACACTCCATGTTAAATACACATTATTATAGTATTAAAAACTGAAAACATACTCTAATATTGATGATTGAAGCAACCATAGCGTAGTAGGCAAGGCGCTCCAGTGCCCTTTCGACTCGTATGAAATAATAAAACTATACCAAGTGTCAAGACGCCTAGTTTACCGACTAATCAATTCCACGATAATGTAGTGATGTGACAGACCAATGCTTAGCTCAAACGAATTACAAATTAGTTTCTTTTTTCCCCAACCTTTTGCTAGTAGCCTAAGATAGCTTCTTAGGCTACCAGACCATACTGGTAGCTTTACCATTTTATACTGGTGGTAGAACCTCTTGTGAGTCCACACGGCTAGGTACCACCGCCCCGTCTATTTCTGCCGTGAAGCAGTAATGCGTTTCGGTTTGAAGGGTGGGGCAGCCGTTGTAACTATACTGAGACCTTAGAACTTATGTCTCAAGGTGTGTGGCGCATTTACGTTGTAGATGTCTATGAGCTCCAGTAACCACTTAACACCAGGTGGGCTGCGAGCTTGTAGTTGAAACATCTAAGCAATAAAAAAAGGCTTCCAGGTACGTCAGACGGGTAGGTCAGCTCACGGGCTCAACCTGAGAGAATTTGCTAACACCAGCCCTAACAAGAGCAGTGCTTCGCTGAATCTACTACCGGATCAGAATCGCGACCCACTGAGAAGATCCGGCGAGAAACTCAGTGGGCTAACAAATTAGCTTATTTAAAAAACGAACTTCTGAGTCTACACGGGTACGGACTACCATCGTGCCTCTTACTGCCATGAAGCAAACGTGCGTTCCGACTTCGGCATTGGCACAGCCATTACACTTAATCAGAGCGACTTTAACATCACATATCTAGGTGGGTGGTGGTAGTTTTCACGTTGTGACGTGCTTGGTTTTCCTAATTACTTAACACCAGTGAGCCTTGAAATCGTCTGCTTATATAGAGCGATAAAAACACACACACATTTACAACGAAGCAAATAAAATTTAGTAGCTTAAATACATGTATAAATACTCACGATTAGCGTTAGTGAAGGAAAATAAAAGAATTATTAATAAAAACGAAATGCTCGTGTATTTCAACATTCTGCAAGAAACGAAGATTCACTTTCGAATAAAAATTTATAGAAAAAAAAATAAGACACCTTCCTTTTATATACGAGTTTGACAAAACTTTAATAAGACCGCATGTACATTGACACACTTAGATATTTATTTTTATTTATTTATTTAGACACACCAACAGCAATACACACAAAACATTCAAGCTTAAAATTAACATGTATAAAATTAAGTACTGGTGTGTAAGCCAGTTACATGCATGTACAGCAATCTCTTATAACATAGTATGACATGTTACAGCAATTTTACAAACAGCTGAAAAATAGGCTAAATTAAATGTTAACAGTACGACAAAAAAAATAATTGAAAATAACATGAAAACAAGAGTTAACTACTTAACATTCTCTCATCGATTATAAACAAAGAAACTTGGATACTATACTAGTTTGTTTTTGAGACCAGGACATGTGTCATTAGAAATGTCGATGCCGTCAATTAATGCACATATTTGGTGATATTCACTACAAATCTTTGATAAAAGGGAATATTTATTTATTTAATAAACAATGTTTCAACAGCATTTAACTAGACACAGGGTACAGAGGATGTTTTCCCAAACATGAGCCAATTAAAGAAACACATTAAAAAATGTTAACATAATTAATGGACACAGGTAGTCCAACTAAGGTAAAGGTAAGGCAGTTAAATAGGTAGATGAACTTCGTCGAATGATAACTTGCAGAATAAGTTTGAATCTGATTGTGTTGTGTCGATGTGCGTAAGTGCGTGTGAGTGTAATAAAGTGCTTGGTTTACATGGACGCTCGAATTGATTATGAACGTTTATTGTTAATTGTAGAACACCCAAAATACTTTACAGATTATTATTTTTCAATTTGTAAATACTTTAAAGATTCAATCAATAACAAACCTTTAGCTTAACTTAACTTAAGCTTATGAACTGCAGCTTTGAACATAGTTTTGGATGTTGTAATATCTAAGGAGGTTTGTTCTACTTGCGGGAATATGGAAAATTTTAGTGATAGGATGCCGTGGGTAGTGCTATGGAATGCTAAAGTTGATTTTCTGAAGTAAGTGGCTACAATCTATGCTTCCGGAAATTAGTTTTTTTTAAGAACATGATATTAATTATTCTACGACGGGTGCCGAGCGATATCATTTTAAAATGCTTAAGACATAGATCATATGTGGTACGGTAGGATATGCTAGAAGAATGGAATGCCAAGTGCCTAGTGAATGCACGCTGTACGCTTTCAATACGCTGCGAGTAAGTAACGTAATGGGGACCCCAAACTACTGATGCGAACTTTTTTTTTTATGATTGAAAGTTTACTGGTGGCCCGAAGGCCTTTCCAGTTTCACCAGGACAGGTGGGCGAGCAAAGGCTCAGCCAAGAAGATGCGAACTCAAGTTGACTGCGAACCAGCGAGTTATATAATGTTATTTTAGTGTTTGAGAACATAAATTCCTTAGTATTTCTTTTTAGGATATTGTTATATGTTTTGGATATTGTTTTTATTTTTATTTTTAACAAACCATAGGCACTTTGATTAATGATATTTACTTGTTTGTAAGGCATTATGTAGAGACATGTTGAATAAATATGTCTAAAGTGTTTAAAATAGAGTTTTTCTTGAAAGGTTTTTCTTTATCTATGTTTACGTGCTTTAGAATTGTCTTCAATGTAATCAAGCTGTAACTTATTTTATTTACACGTTAAATATGTAACACATAAGTGAACGAGCTCACGGTCTATCTAGCGTTAAGTGTCTACCGGAATCCAAAGATAAGTGTATAATGATGTATTGATGTTACGCGGTAGAAAAACGAGCGGGGTTGTGCTACCTACCTGCGTGTGCTCACAATGCGGCCTACCACCAGTAATTACGCAAATTATAGTTCTTGCGAGTTTGATTTTGTTACGTGCCGCTGTTCCATAATCGTGAAAGCTATTCGTGACAATGTATAATAGTAAATAGGAATTTCCTTAAAAAAAATTGTACCCGTTAGCGGGATTCGAACATCGGCACCCTCGCATCACTCGATACAAATACACCAGACGTCTTACAATTTAGGCCACGACACCAACCAAGCAGAGGAAGACACCGCCCACTCTGATACATTAGACCGAAGTCTTGTTCTTGTATTGTAGTAACAGACATATATATTCCTGTCACGAAGCAGAAACGCATTCATTGAAATATGGCGTTGACATTCAAGATGGCGTTCATTCCATTATAGTGTCTATGAACGCCGGCGTCCCCTTAATACTAGGGGAGTCGTGTGAATCTGAAAAAATAAATAAATAAAATATTCCCAATAAATATTGTGCACATATAATGTGCACGCGTCCTAATGATACACATACTACTAAAACTGAACACGATTACAATAAATTAGTACCGAAAACCTTTAATAGCTATTTAATCCTTTAATATGTTTAAACAAAACGAAACAAAAAGAAAAACACCCTTTAAATCGTTTTATTATGTTAATAACATACAATGACTTGTTTGTTTCGACTTCAATTGTACCATACAAATAATTCGTTCAGAATAACAAATAAAATATTCAATCGAATCTTCAAACAAAATCGTGAAGTAACTTTACCAATAGCACCTGTGTTACGTGTACGAAGTCTGACAGGCTGCTCAAATATGTCTCAATTAAATTCAAGTTCTTGGGGACTTGTCCTTGAAACTGCACTGGTTATATTTGTTATTCGTAAAGATTTAAACACGTCGCTTTTCATGAAAACGAAGAAGTCATCGGCGATAGTGAAGTTTACCTTAACATAATAATTAAGTTGAGTTTCTCAGTGGGTCGCGTTTCCGATCCGGTAGTAGATTCTGCGAAGCACTGCTTTTGCTAGGGCCAGTGTTAGCAACACTCTAGGTTAAAGCCCCGTGAGCTCACCTACACGTCAAGGAGAATTTGAAATAGGCTCTCAAGGCTATCAGCATAAGTACGAAGAAAAAAAAGAGTTTTAACAAGTTAAGACTGACTTGGCGATGCAGTAGTTAGAGGCCCGGGCTCGATGTCCACATCCGGCAATCATTCGTGTGATTAGTCTCGAATTATAGGAGAATAGAACGAAAAAGGATAGATTCTTCCAAATACGGTATGGCAGAAGAATGATCGGTATCCCCTGACCGGCTAAGATAACAAGTCTATCTAGGATTTCCCTGGTCCGTGATAGGGGGGGCGCTGAAAAGACACGGAGTGCCCCTCTACGACCCACGCACATTCTGACCCGGCGGGGTATTCCGTAGGATAACCCATTCTAACCGGCGCCATCTAGGCGGGCTCCGGATAGCCTGCCGACCGAGATGGCTGGTGGTCTTGGCGCCGACGACTGCCGGTCTGGCGTCCCGAGGGGGAGGGTGATGGGAGAGATGTGCTCCGCATTAAACGCTTCACTTTCCCCCCTTTGCCTTTTCATGAGTTCTGTCTCATGCGAGGTTCGGACGTGGGTTGTTGATCGTTGTGGGTGGCGCATGTACGTTGTAGATGTCTATGAGCTCCAGTAACCACTAAACACCAGGTTGGCTGTGAGCTCGTCCACCCATCTAAGCAATAAAAAAATAAAAAGTGAAAACATGGAGTCTTACTATTATTCAGCAGAGCGCAAAAAGCCGTTAACCAAACAGGTGTTCAAATAGTAAAAATATATTGTATATTTTTTTCTTCTTAAAATGCAAACATATAAAATTATAAAGAACATATTCGCAACTACTAATATTGCTTGTATTAAAATTACATTTAAATGTACATAAATGTTAAATGCTGTCTGTCCGTCGATAAGAACGCGCTTGAGAACGTTCGCATTACTCGAAATAAGATTATTAAGGCTTTTAATTCTTAAGTTCTTCTTAATTATGTTATGTTCGAATAGTGAATGTAGGTAGGTATATAAGTTCAGATCTCGGTCTTTTTTTTGCTTTATACAGACAAACCTACTGTCCACCTGAAGTTGGGTGGTCAGCAATATTGCCAGGGGCATAGCCAAGCCGCTGTCTACTATATGCTCAGATCTCAGAGTGAATTGTGGCCAACGTTATAATGTCTAGAATTCTCGGTGATAGTTAAAAACCGCATAGGTCATGACTTCTCCTATCCAATTATAGCATTATTGTTTAAATATATTCAAATGTATTATGAACACGGCCGTTTTAGGAACTTGCATGTTTTGAAAATCTTTGATTAAAATAACTTGCACTTGTTCATGTTAATGAAATACTAAATAAGGCTTTTCGAATGTTAGGCTTCATACTTAGAGTTGGTAAAGACTAAAAGACCATTTACTCTGATTCTGTTGTACAACAGTTTTGTACGGTCTATATTGGAATATGGCTCCGTCACATGGAATCCCCAATACAATATTTATATTGAGTGACTAGAAAGAGTCCAAAAAAAGTTAGGCATCTTTTATACTATTGTCGTCGCTTTAACTCTCCAGAACCGACAGAATTTATCTCTCTAGGCTACTGAGGGATCAAATGTTTTTATATAAAATAATAAATAATGAGATTGATTCTAGTTATCTTCTTTCCAAAATTTCATTTAAATGTAGTCGTATTTCCGCGCGTTCTAAACAGACCTTCCACATGTCCACGGCTCGAACGAAATATGCTTCTAATGCTTTTGTCCGTAGATCTTGTAGGTTGTACGATGCTAAGTTCTCTAATGCTGACATATTTTGCTTGTCACTTGTAGCATATAGAAAAGCTATTTTAATATATTTATAAGGTGATTTAGTCCGATGAGTATTATAGTTTTATAGTATAAGTTGATGTATAAAATAATATGTGCGTATTGTGTTGCTTTTGTTTTTTTGGAATTTAAATTTCTAAATTACTCTTCTCTGTTCACTTTCTACTTATATGTGATTTTGATTGTGGAAACATATTTGGTTATTGTTTTAGCTATATTTTTTTAAATATTATATGTTTGTATTGTACTGTTTCCCAAATAAATAAATAAATAACTTGCATAAACTAACTATCTCTATAGGACGTCATGTACACATTTGAATGCGTATCTATGAATAAATTTAGATTAAGAAACAATTTCACGGTTCAATAACATTGAAAATTGTATACAAAAAGAAAACCCAAGAGATTTTATTATTTTATTGCTTAGATGGATGCACGAGTTCACAGCCCCGTATGGTGTTAAGCGGTTACCGAAGTCCATAGACATCCAACAACGTAAACACTGCCACCCACCTTGAGAGATGAGTTCTAAGTCTCAGTTTTGGACAACGGCTCACCCTTCAAACCGAAACGCATTATTGCTTCACGGCAGAAATAGGTAGGGTGGTGGTACCTACTGTATGCGCGCGAGTTCATGTCCATCGGGGCCAGAGGCGACGCGCGGGGGACAGCTCGCCCCACCTTCGCCTGCCTGCCCGCATTTGTCTGACGTCGAATGTTGTCCGTGACGGTTGTGACGCGCGCTTACCGATATCGAAAATTTACGCTAACGCTATTGTGTTAATTAACCATGACTACTCCGCTTCCAACAAATTCAAATAGAAAAAAAGATACATACTGATTCCGACTCTGATCTGTCGGTTGTCTTTTCATTCAATAGTGATTGAATTGGAATTTAAAAAACTATTTTTCTCTATTAGAAATAAACAAGTGATTACTTATCACATTTATTTTATTTCATAAATTGCAAAATTACCACCACTATAAACCAACATTACCATAATTAATTATTACCATATATAATTAAGGACATGAACACTCGCACGTATTGTACAGGCAGGCGGCTTCGCACTCTTCTATAGTCTCAAAATTATTAGCATTCGCTTGGCAACCTCCGTAGATGAATTCAACGCATTTGTCCTCCGATGAATCGTAGGCATATCTGTAAGAAATAATTTTATCGCAAGATAACAATCTCAATTAGGGCTTATTTAAACCGGGATAGTCAATTTAGCGTGGTTCACTAACAAGGCCTCTGTCAAAGCACTGATTCATTCATTGAACTTTTAAGTTCGACAATGTACCTATTCGTTTGCGGACATTTTTTTTCACTTTGTTCGCCAGTATTTTGAATTTTAGAATTATTAAAAAAAAGAACGATTGTTTGAAACAGCATCAATTATAAATACCAAGAAATCTGAAATTTGGCAGACTAACTTGGTGGCGATTTAGTTACCGCCTTTGACCTCCGAGCCGAGAGTTGTGGGTATGTTTCCAACGTCAAGAAAAATCGTGTGATGACAACTCTATTTGCTCTTTGTCCGGGTTTTTAATATTTATGTATAGGTAGTATATATAATTCGACGCTTGAAAGGCAAACGTGACTAAGCGACAATAACTGCTTTATACATAAATGATAGGCAAAAATCATATTCGATGCGCAAAAAAATATATATTTTTAGGACTATTAAAATCATTTCAATCCTACAGCTAGATTCGTTAAAATATAATTTTTTTCAGGTATTTCAACTTTAAATTAGTCTACTGTAAAGTTCACGCGTTGTCGCTTAGTCATGTTTGCCTTTCAAGCGTGGAATTATGTATTTATTTAAACGCATATAAGTATGTATAACCGTCTCTAGTTCCTATAGTACTGAGAAACCTAACTTTGGGCTAGATGACCCTGTGTAATTTATCCCTGATTATTTGTTATTTACTTAAGGACGCGTTCGGTAACGGGCACAGCTTATCCGTATCCTAGGTCTGAGGTACCAATGATAGCAATTGAAGAAACTAATTGTTATTAAATTCAATACCCATCTAAAAAAAGTACATGAAAATTAACTAATAAGTTGATAACTTATAATAATTATCAAGTGTTTGTTAACATTGTATAACTTTTATTAGTTTTCTTCTACTGTAATAAATTATATTTACGATCGGTTTGAGTGTATATATAATTCAGTACAGTCTTGATTTTAATTGGCGCTTCAACCTTATCATTGTGGGCGTTATAACGTTTACGCAATCTTAAGTCAGATGGGAGGTGAATTAAAAGCATAGAAAGAAAATCATATATTACCTTCGGAAACCGCCCCTGCAAGGGCCCGTCTTTATTGGCAGCAAACAATCAGCTGAAAACAAAGGTACAGTCGCGTCCATTATTATTTACTTTCACATACTGGGACTCGGAACCATCCATAATGATGTAAAGTATAAGTTCATAACACGAAAGTGGTTGTGAAGAACCAATAAACAATTTTTTTTTTGTACAACGTAGCAAATTCCCTAACAATATTGTCCGTTCATTGACGATGAAAATGTTAAAAACTCAATAAGTTTTGATTTGCTTACGCCGAGCTTATTTTAAGCCCGGTACGATGGTAATAACAGCGTCAAACACGCACACAATTCAAAATATTGTTCTTTTTTTTATAATAAATTAAAAAAATTAAATATTCAAAATATTGATACTGAAACACTCCAAGTTAAATACACATTATTATAGCAATTAAAAAAAAAGCCGAAAACATACTCTATTTTTGATGGGTGAATTATTGGAGCGACCGTAGCATAGTAAGCAAGGCGCTCCAGTGTGTCCGGTCAACTCGTGTGAAAAAATAAAACTATATCAAGTTTCAAGACGCCTAGTTTACAGACTAATCAATTCCACGATAATGTAGTGATGTGACAGACCAATGCTTAGCTTAATTAAGCGAATTACAAATTAGTTTCTTTTTCCCCAACCTTTTGCTAGTAGCCTAAGAAGCTATTCCAGGTACGCCCAGACGGGTAGGTGAACTCACGGGTTCAACCTGAGAGGATTTGCTAACACTAGCCCTAACAAGAGCAGTGCTTCGCTGAATCTACTGCCGGATCAGAATCGCGACCCGCTGAGAAGATCCGGTGAGAAACTCAGTGGGCTTCCAAATTAGCTTATTTAAAAAACGGACTTCTGAGTCTACACGGGTACGGACTACCATCGTGCCTCTTACTGCCATGAAGCCAACGTGCGTTCCGACTTCGGCATTGGCACAGCCATTACACCTAATCAGAGCGACTTTAACATCACATATCTAGGTGGGTGGTGGAGGTTTTCACATTATGACGTGCTTGGTTTTCGTAATTACTTAACACCAGCTGAGTCTTGAAATCGTCTGCTTATATAGAGCGATAAAAACACACACACACATTTACAACGAAGCAAATAAAATTTAGTAGCTTAAATACATGTATAAATACTCACGATTAGCGTTAGTGAAGGAAAATAAAAGAATTATTAATAAAAACGAAATGCTCGTGTATTTCAACATTCTGCAAGAAACGAAGATTCACTTTTGAATAAAAATTAATAGAAAAAATTACTATTACTTCCTTTTATATACACGAGTATGACAAAGCGTTATTAAGACCACATGTACATTGACACACTTATATATTGTTTTTATTTTTATTTTTAACAAACAATAGGCACTTTGATTAATGATATTTACTTGTTTGTAAGGCATTATGTAGATACATGTTGAATAAATATGTCTAAAGTGTTTATAATAGAGTTTTTGTTGAAAGGTTTTTCTTTGACTATGTTTACTTGCTTTAGAATTGTCTTCAATATAGTGTATTGATGTTACGCGGTAGAAAAACGAGCGGAGTTGTGCTACCTACCTGCGTGTGCTCACAATGCGGCCTACCAGTAATTACGCAAATTATAGTTCTTGCGAGTTTGATTTTGTTACATGACGCTATTCCATGTTAGGGGAAGCTATTCGTGACAATGTACACTAGTAAATAGGAATTTCCTTAAAAAACACTCGCATCACTCGATACACCAGAAGTACTACAATTTTTTTTATTGCTTAGATGGATGAACGAGCTCACAACCCACCTGGTGCTAAGTGGTTACTGGACTCCGTAGACATCTACAACGTAAATGTGCCACCCTCCTTGAGATATGAGTTCTAAGGTCTCAGTATAGTTACAACGGCTGCCCCACCTTTAACCCGAAACGCATTACTGCTTCACGGCAGAAATAGGCAGTGTGGTGTACCTACCCGTGCGGACTCACAAGAGGTCCTACCACCAGTAATTACGCAAGTTATAATTTGCGGGTTTGATTTGTATTACACGATGTTATTCCTTCACCGTGAAAGTCAATCGTGAACATTTGTTTAGTACGTATTTCACGTAGTACGTAGTGCACATATAATGTGAACGCGTCCTAATGATATGCATAATACTAAAACCGAACACGATTACAATAAATTAGTACCGAAAACCTTTAATAGCTATTTAATATTTTAATATGTTAAAACAAAAAGAAATAAAAAGAAAAACAACCCTTAAATCGTTTTATTATGCTAATAACATACAATAACATGTTTATTTCAACTAGAAATGTACTATACAAATAATTCATTCAGAATAACAAATTAAGTCTTCAGTCGAATCTTCAAACGAAATTGTTAAGTAACATTACCAATAGCATCTGTGTTACGTGTACAAAGTCTGACAGGCTGCTCAAATATGTCTCAATTAAATTCAAGTTCTCGGTGACTTGTCCTTGAAACTGCACTGATCTATATAATTATTAGAAGAATGGACGTGCCCCGCGGTTTCGCCCCCGTTATATTTGTTATTCATAAAGATTTAAACACTTCGCGCCATGTGAGTCGTCTATTATCAAAGGTGGCAATCTGTGCATTTGGACAAAAAAATGTTATTGATATGTCAATACAGATTGATTTGAATATAATCGTCTCCTTCAAAAAATTCGGTTCAAAACCTGCATTAAATAAAGTATTAACTTAACCTATTATTTATCTAAGATGTCGTTCAGAAGAGTTTTTTGACTGCCAATGGAATACAAAGTCAATAATTCGTTTTTCTGAATTACCAATAATTGTCCAAAAGTCACATTGCCGGCTTTGATAATAGTCGACTCATGTATTGTACCAGGAATGCGACCACAAATAGCATGACGCAAAAAATAAAACGTAACAATTAGGGATCTGTGTATAAATAATAATTATATAAATGAACCTAATAATTTTATTGATTCTGCTGAGCAAAGGTTCTGCTGTGAACAGTCTTGCCTTTAAGTTTTTTTTTGTTTTTTTATTGCTTTTATGGGTGGACGAGCTCACAACCCACCTGGTGTTAAGTGGTTACTGGAGCCCATAAACATCTACAATGTAAATGCGCCGCACACCTTAAGATATAAAGTTCTTAGGTCTCAGCATGGTTACAACGGCTGCCCCAACCATCAAACCGAAACGCATTAGTGCTTCACGGAAAAAATAGGCAGGGTGGTGATACCTACCCGTGCGGACTCACAAGAGGTCCTACCCCCAGTAATTACGTAAATTATAATTTTGCGGGCTTTTTTTTATTACACGTTGCTATTCTTTCACCGGTGGAATCGTGAACATGTGTCAAGTACGTATTTCATTAGAAAAATTGGTACCCGCCTGCGGGATTCGAACACCGCTGCATCGCTAGATACGAATGCACCGGACGTCTTATCCTTTTGGCCACGACGACTTGGTTCGTAGTGTTTTGTTGTAATGCAATTGGATATTCGTTGCCTGTGGGAACCACCAAACATCGGATAGATTATATAATTAGTCACAAATACTAATTAAAATGCCTTTCCCTTTAAAGTGCGTATTAGAACCCTATTCTATAATAGAAAACGGTGTTTTTTTTTCTTTCTAAAACAAAAATCATATTGATGGTCATTAAATTAATTTAAAAATTTAATAAAACAATATAGAATATGTAGTGCAAAAACTGAATCTAAATCTTTAGATGTCAGTGGTTATGGTCGAATTTCAATAATTCTACGAAAACTATCTATATATTAATACGTGAAGCAAAAACTTTGTATCCCTTTTTACGAAAATTGCGCGGACGGAGGAGTATGAAATTTTCCACACTAATAGAGAATATAGAGAAGAAGTGCACAATGCTAATATTTTTTTAAATAATGCATAAAAGATACATTATATCATTATAGAAAACATTACACACACTACATACCATGTATTTGACGCACACACGCATGCATACTATTTATTGTCAAACTTTTGTTCTTGACGTCTGTGGTCAAACTGAGAATAGATTAAATATTGTTTGTCTTTATTAATATTTTTTTATAGTGTAGCCTTGGCGAAATTTGTGATTATAGAAGTATAAAATACAATCATAATAGTGTACAAACTTACAATTCCATTTAATTATAGTCAAATTTCGACTATTGCGGGACCTCTAGTTATTTACAATTAGATATTTTTAAGTACATTATGAATGTCATCTCAATTGAACATCCTTGGTCGGTTGATCGAATATCTTGAACAATTAAAGATTACTATTTATTTCGTTTATTGTTTTACTGGTGGTAGGACCTCTCGTGAGTCCGCACGGTCCACCACCCTGCCTATTTCTGCCGTGAAGCAGTAATACGTTTCGGTTTGAAGGGCGGGGCAGCCGTTGTAACTATACTGAGACCTTAGAACTTAGATCTCAAGGTGGGTGGCGCATTTACGTTGTAGATGTCTATGGACTCCAGTAACCACTTAACACCAGGTGGGCTGTGAGCTCGTCCACCGATCTAAGTAATAAAAAAAACAAAAACGGTTGCCTTTGTTGCAACAATTGTTGTTCTATTGGTGCAACGAGCTATCGTTAAAATGCTATTCAATAAGTGAAAACATGGATAATTTTATAACAACAAGAGTTGTCTTGTTCAAACATATTATTCAGTAGAGGACAATAAGTCGTTAAAGAAACAGGTGTTCAAATAGAAAAAATATTATGTTTTTTTTCTTCTTTAAATGCAAACATAAACAATTATAAAGGACATATACTACTAATATTGCTTGTTTTTTTCTTTTTCTTTTTTTATTGCCCTTGTAGGCAGGCGAGCATACGGCCCACCTGATGGTGAGTAGTTACCGTCGCCCATGGGCTTCAGCAATGCCAGGGGCAAAGCCAAGCCGCTGCCTACCGCTTAATACTCTCCACAAGCCTCGTTTGAAGAAGGACATATCATAGCGCTCGGGAAACACCGTGGATGGGAGCTCATTCCATAGCCGGATGGTACGTGGCAAAAAAGACCTCTGGAAACGCACTGTAGATGACCGCAGTAGCTCCAGGTAGTATGGATGAACTCTGCTCCGGTGGCGGGCGGTGCGATGGTAAAAACGAGATGCCGGTATCATCTCGAACAATTCCTCAGAGCACTCCCCATGGAACATACGGTACAAAATACAGAGGGAACCAGAGTCCCTCCGCAGACCCAGAGGTTCCAAACGATCTATGAGAATGGGATTATCGACAATCTGAACGGCCCTCCTCTGTATGGAGTCAAATGGAGAAGCTTATTGTATTTGGGAGCCCCGGCCCAGAGATGGGAGCAATACTCCACGCGAGGCCTGACTTGTGCTTTATAAAGCAAAAGCCTCTGTCCAGGCATGAAGTACCGCTTCGCTCTGTTGAGGACTCCTAGCATTTTGGACGCCAACTTGGCTTTGCCTTCCAAATGACTCCGAAATTGGACATCGCTCGAAATGTCGACCCCAAGCATCCCGATACTCTCGGAAGGTGCAGGGATACTCGTTGTAATTGCGGCGCCATGACAAAGGGGTCCTTCTTCGCAGTGAACGCGCAAACTTGTGTCTTTAACGGGTTGAATTGAATCAAGTTCAATTCACCCCATTTAGAGACTCCCCCCAGAGAGTTCTCCACTATAGACACAAGTTTTGATCGTCTCTCTTGCACCACGCTCCGAGAGAGACTCTGATAGCCTATATATCGCGCATCCCCCGTGCTGTCATCCGCATAGCAATGCATGCCATCGATAGACAGCATGTCATTGATATACAGGATGAAAAGCGTGGGGGAGAGCACCGAACCTTGTGGAACGCCAGCGTTAATGGTCATGGTATTAGAGCAGTCACCGTCTACAACGACAGTGATGCTCCGCCCATCCAAAAAGCTAGCGATCCACTTGCAGAGACCCTCGGGGATTCCGTAAGATGGTAACTTCGATAGAAGTGCCCTATGCCAGACCCTGTCGAAGGCCTTCGCGATATCAAGGCTCACAGCAAGAGCCTCGCCCTTGCTCTCCAAGGCTTCAGCCCACCTGTGAGTAAGGTATACGAGAAGATCGCCAGCTGAGCGACCGTGACGGAAACCGTACTGTCGGTCACTTATCAGCTGGCGATCTTCAAGATACTTCAGGAGTTGTATATTTATTATTCGCTCCATCACCTTGGAAAGCAAGGAAGTTATAGCGATAGGCCTATAGCTCGATGGGTCCGACCGGTCACCCTTCTTGGGGATAGGGTGGACGTGGGCGGTCTTCCATGAAGACGGAACCCTGTTAGCGCAATAAGAGAGGCGATACAAACGCGTTAGCGCAGGCGTCAGCTCATGGACGCACAATTTTAGAACCACTGCAGCGATGCCGTCTGGCCCACTCGACTGATAGACGTCCAGGAGTCAGAGTTCCCGCCTGACTGCACACTGCGTAAAGCAGATCTCCGGCAGGGAACTATCACACCGGGGGATGTTCGGTAGTGTGGCACCCCCGTCGTCCACAGTCGAGTTCGAGGCGAAGAGTTTGACCAGAAGGTCAGCCTTCTCTTTCGCACTATGGGCCAGACTGTCATCGGACTTGCATAGTGGTGGGAGACTAGACCTGCAAAAGTTTCCTTCTGCAGCTTTGGCGAGCGACCAAAAAGCACGGCTCCCAGAGGGATAGCTGTTTAGTCGCTGGCCAATTCTAGCAACGTGCTCCGACTTCGTCCTGGCAATAACCTTCTTGTAGGACCTGGAAGCGGCGTTATATTCCTGCCTTTCCTCTGAAATTTTAGGGTCCTGACGTCTCCTGGCATCAACCCATGCCGCGTATGCGGACCGCTTAAGGTGTGCAGCATCCCTACTGGCATTGTTATACCAGGGTCTGCCGCGACCCCCAACGGGCACCTCAGAGGAGAGAATAAACAATTCCATCCCCTGGAGCACTACGTCTTTAAGACGGTCCGCACAGACGTCAGGATCGGTAGAGGAAAAGCAGAACCGTCCCCATGGGTAGGACGCGTAAAATTCACGCAGCCCATCCCACTCTGCCGACATATACCGTCAAACTCTTCGATACCCGGTCGTCGTTCGACGACCAGGACGAGAGAGACGGATAAGGCAGTGATCAGATCTTTCCAAGCGGAGCGTCGACCACCACACTGTATCCGGCTGGATCGGTGGTCAGCAGAAGGTCCAACAATCAACATCTGGGACTCAATATCTGGGACACGGGTGGGCTGTGTCACCAGCTGGTAGAAGCCGTACGCCAGGGCGAAATCGTAAGCAGCCCGACCCGGGAGGTCAGTGGTTCTATACCCCAACCACTCTTGGTGGTGAGCGTTAAAGTCTCCAAGAACCACCACCTCCGCAGATGGGTACTGCTCAAGCACGCGGTTAGTCCCCTCTTGCACATACTCTATCAGAGCTGAACCTGCATCACTGTTGTGGGACCTGTACAGGCACGCGTAGACTCGGGTACAACCCCCGTGATCTACGCGCAGCCACAAGAGGGATTGAGAAATGAGATTCTTTATTCTATCTATTCTTAATTCTATTATTTTCGAATAGTGAATGTAAATGTTATGGTCTTTTAATTGTCAAGGTTAAATCCGGCGGCGATGGGAGCAACACCGACGACGAATACTGTTTCGTGGAGACCCAACCCAGCAGTCAGGACAACGATCTGGATGAGCCAGTCGTGAACTGGATCGGTTCAGGGCCGGCCTACATGTTCGACAATCACTTCAGCGTTCCCGCTGCTAGGACTGATGTACTTAAAGCACCGAAGAGTTTCCCATTGCCGATGTTGCGGTAATAAAAAAACTTTTTTTTGGAGTAGTTTTGTAAATTTTTTATTTATTGCTTTGATGGTTGGATGAGCTCACAGCCCACCTGGTGGTAACTGGTTATCGGAGCCCATAGACATCTACAGCAGAAATGCCGCTACCCACCTTGAGATATCAGTTCTAAGGTCTCAGTATAGTTACAACGGCTGTCCCGCCCTTCAAACCGAAAGGCATTACTGCTTCACGGCAGAAATAGGCGGGATGGTGGTACCTATGGGCGCGGACTCACAAAAGGCCCTGCCACCAGTTTACTGGTACATTATTTGAATAATAATAAGAATAATTTTGAATGAATTGATTATTTTCAGGTACACGTTGTACGAAATGAGCATCACATGGAACATGTACGGGGGCAATGACTTCCGTAATCCCGCCGACGCGGTATCTTCCAAGAAAACGGTCACCATAGATGACAATCGTAAATTAGGATCCCCTACCTCTGTAAAGTAAGTGGTTCTCCTTTTTTTTACCTAAGCTGATGGTCTAGAGAGACTATATCAGCGTCACCGGGCTAGTAGGAAGGCCGTGTGCTCGTTTGGTCACAAAAGCGTGAACCCATGAGAGACAAATCTCAAAATTACAGGCGCAGTAAAGACTACGAGCCGTACGAGAGCGGCCGCGCCATTGCAGCCGCGTACAGAAGCGGCGGGGTCGGCTGGGCGGCGGGCGCCGACCGAGTGCGGACCAACACGCGCGCGAGCGTGCAGCGCAGGGAACTACGCACCAGGGGCGGACCTCAACGCGACCACAAGACGAAGGTCAAACTGTGCCTCACTAAAGTAAGTCATTACAGATTACATTATCCCTCCCGACCTATTAACGGTGGTTTTAGGTACCACAAGCATTGGTTACCGCCCTCGCCGAACCCGTCGCTTGCGACGAAGGGCTCGACGAGCGAATTAACCCATAATAGACACAGCCCACTGAGTTTCTCGCCGGATCTTCTCAGTGGGTCGCTCCTGCGTAGCACTGCTCTTGCTAGGGTCATTATTAGCATCACTACGGTTTGAGCCCCGTCAGCTCACTAGTTGAGGTTACGCTGAAATAACCTCTCAAGGTTATCAGTTTGGAAGGAAAAAAAAATAAAAAATTACAGTGCTCGTATGGTCAACCAAAACAATGTCTTTGCATTATAATTTTTTTTTTAATCTATCTTATGACCTGGTAACTAAGACCTTTAAGTCAAGTCTTATTTTAATTTATATTCATAGTTTTATGAAAAATTATAATATAGAGTGAAATGAAATGAAGATGGTTAATTTGAGACATTAATCAACTGAGATGAAATTAAATGAAATGAGATGAAATGCTATGGGTTGGAATATAATCTCAGTAAAATGGTGGTTATTTACTGAGACTTTTTCAGTGGGCTTTGGAGGATCCCGAGAAGCTACGTCCAGCGGCTTTGTTTCATTTTACCACATTTGTGCACTTTCACAGGTATTAAACCGTTACCACAGTTAAACAGTATCCATCGTTATTATTACTTATTAAATAATTTAAAAGTGCGGTATCTATAGGATCGCACTTTATGGTACTTCAACGACGACTAACGTCACCTAAGGCAGTATGCGAGATAGATTCCGGACCAATGAAGTACGAAACTAAAACTTTTATTTAGATCTGCAATTGAATATTGTTGTTCTGCTTAGGTAACCACACTGTATATATAATAACATATATCATAATATAAATAGTAGCCGAATATAATTGTTTTATACAAACAAGACGATTTTTTATGGTACCTTGATGTAATAAGAAAACGATACAAAAATGTCTCGAACAACAAAATAATGGACAGGTAATTTTAAATAAGGTGGATTTAATAAGTAAACTCAATTTAAATTATTGTTAATCTTAATAGTAAATGGATGACCCATATATTTGGATTCGATAAAATTGTTTGTCAATACATTGCATAGCTACATTGGACGACCTCGCGGTCTATCTGATGTTAAGTGTTTACCATAAAAGACATAACCCTCACCCATTGAGATATTAGTTATAAGCCTCAGCTCTATAGTACATGGCTGCTGGAACGCATACCTACTTCGCGACTGAAATAGGCAGGGTGGTGGTACCTACCCGCGCGGACTCACAAGAGGTCCTACAACCAATAATGTACTTTTTTTACATGGTATTTTTAATAAATCCGAATGTTTTATCGGGACAGGTGAAATTCCAATACGAGGTGTATCCTTCTGGTGGAATGCACGCGTCCCGGCAAACCCTCGCGATCAGCAAGATCGAAGTATTGGATCAGCTTGAGTGCAGCGACATCAACAAGCTTCTCAGCCAGTACAAGTTGAAAGACGAGCCGGAGAGAAAAAACGCCCATATGGTAAGCGAATACGATCCATAATACGAAACGAATAAGGTACATTTTTCAATTCTCCTGAAATCCGGTGCAGACAAGAACATTTGAAGAAGTTCGTGTTTAAAATAACTACATACACAATGTATCTAAAGCAATAGCATTTGAATTTTAATTTTCAATAACATTTATGAATAAAATCTATATGTTTAAAAATGAATTGTTGTTCGTTAATCTCGCTAAAACTCAAGAACGACTGGACCGATTTGGCTAATTTTGGTTTTGAATTATTTGTGGAAGTCCAGAGAAGGTTTAAAAGTTAAATAAATATGAAAATGTTCGGAAGTAAATAAAAATAACAATTTTGTTTTCCCTTTGATGTGTGCCCCGTCGAACGGATTCCTTTTGTTTGTTTGTTTTAAGTTTATTTTATACAATAGTTTAGGTATTTTATTTGTCGATTGAGACACCACGAAGTCTGCCGGGTCAGCTAGTTCAAAATAAATACATTTCAGTTAGTTGTGAAAGCGGTACACCTGCGTCCAGACCCGGCACTGACGGCCCAGGAGTGCTGCCTCAAGATATCTCTGTTGCCGCTCTGGTTCAACCTCGACCAAGACACGTTGGGCTTCTTGGTGGGATACTTTTCTAAATTAGGGTCTGATGAATGCAGCGGTAAGTAACTCTTATGATTATTTTTTTTCTTCATATACCTTAGGCTAGCTTAGTGGTGAGCGAATACAGAAGCATATTGTGTCCTTGTGAGTAAATTCCACTATCCTCGTGTCTCGAAAATGAGTGTTGAGATTCACGTTATGATATCTATAGGTCACAGTAACAATCCAACATCAGAACGCTATTCAATCCGGTTACAAAAGTTGTTTTTTTTATTGCCCTTGCATTCAGCAATGCCAGAAGCATAGCCAAGCCGCTGCCTACCGCTTAATACTCTACACAAATCTTGTTTGAAGAAGGACATGTCATAGCGGGAAACACCGTGGAGGGGAGCTCATTCCAAAGCCGGATGGTACGTGGCAAAAAAGATCTCTGAAAACGCACTGTGGATGACCGCAGTGGCTCCAGGTAGTATGGTTGAACTCTACTCCAGTGGCGGACGATAAAAACGAGATGATGGTATCATCTCGAACAATGCCTCAGGGCACCAAAGAAAATATTGTTTGTAGATACTGACTATACCAATATATGTGGGTTTCTTTATTCTCAGGTGAAGACGACTCAAAAAGCGTCGGAGGTCTGTCGACGGACTCTAGCGGGTCGAGACAGACCACGCCCACCCACCGGCCCCCCGTCATGACCATCGCGAGCCACCTCAAGGACCCGCCCCCCACCCCCACCTCGCTGGGGGACGCTGATGCCCTATCGCTCAACGAAACTGGTACAACTACTTATAGTAAATAACCTAAACATTTTACATTCAATATCCCCTTACTATAATTAATCTTGAATGTTCTTTATAGTCATCGAAATAAGTATGAAACTAGATCTAGTACAGTGTTAGCTGTGCGGAATCCTGGGTGGTGTGTGCTTATAGATAAGATAGAGATAAAGAAGTCTTTACTAACAATCTTACTTTATATTTAGGTACATACTATTAATGAAATTTTTCTACATTGACATTTTTGACATTGGCAAAAATTGTTTTGCTTTTGCTTATAGATAGATAAATCAACATAATGTTATTCCACTCCATTTCCTATAAGAAATGTTATAATATAATAATAATCTGACATTTCATTAAGTTAACGTTGGCAACAAAGGCCTCGCAAGAAGACGTGTTGCCATACTGAAAAAAAAACATTGCGCTCTCACTAAGCGTCTAGCATAGAAACAAAACGGTCACAACGATCGTGCTTCGTTTACTCTTTTTTTAATTTTTTATTGCTTAGATGGGTGAACGAGCTCACAGCCCATCTGGTGTTAAGTGGAGCCCATGGACATCTACAACGTAAATGCGCCACCCACCTTGAGATATAAGTTCTAAGGTTGTAACTAAACCTTCAGACCGAAACGCACTACTGCTTCACGGCAGAAATAGGCAGGGTGGGTGGTGGTACCTACCCGCGCGGACTCACAAGGGGTCCTACCACCAGTAAAATTAAAACACCCACATTTACCTTGAAGTGCTTCGCGATGAAGAGCCTCTAATGGAGACATACGAAGCGGAACGTCTGGTCTCCGAGAACCTGATCCAGCTCGAGGAAGACTTCAACAAACTGGGCATCGATCAAGGGAAACCGGCCGCGAAGCTACCCGTCGACGCTGAGCCCGTCGACGACTCACCGATTTACTTCAGGTAATCAGATATCGGTATAATAGGTTGGGGAAAAGTCTTTTCGCATTATAATATTTCATCATCATCATCATCATTATCCTGCCCTTCTCCCAGTCACCTGGGGTCGGCGCAATATGTTTTGTCCTTCCATACTCTTCTATCATATACCATTTATTCGCTCACTCCCCTCTTACCCATATCGTTTTTCACGCAATCCATCCATTTCTTCTTAGGTCTACCTCTTCCTCTATATCCTTCCACATTCATAGTTAGCATTCTCTTACCAACCTCATTTTCATCTCGTCTGATCACATATCCATACCATCCCAAACGCGCACTTCTCAGCTTCTCTGTCACACGTGCCACTTTCAGACTTCCTCTAACATATTCATTCCATATTCTATCTATTCTCGTTACTCCACACATCCATCGCAACATTCGCATCTCTGCTGCATGCAATCGCCTTTCATCCGCCACTTTAGTGATCCAACAAGCTATACATACTGAACTTGTAATAAAATTTCTTTAACTATACTATTTGTATCTGGTAATCTATACAAAACAGTTTTGGCGCATTTAAAAAAAACTGGGTACACAAAAAAGCTCAATATTTACGCGCGGTATTTTGATCAGAAGCTCCAAAATTTGTATAGCAATGGGACCATGTCCCTACTTACAAGATGGCAAAAAGTTATCGAACAAAATGGTACCTACATACTTTAGTTAAATGTAAATAAACAATATTAAAAAATGTTGTGAATTTTCTTAAAAAATGCTAAGGAACTGTTTCCCCAACCTATTACATTGATAGTTCTCGATAACCTCAGAGGCTCTAGACAAAACATCCCACATTGATCGTCGTGGCCCAAAGGATAAGACGCCCGGTACATTTGTATAAAGCGGTGCATGTTGTGCCGGTGTTCGAATCCCGCAAGCAGGTACAAAATTTTTCGATTGAAATACGTACTTGCTACGTGCTCACGAATGACTTCCACGAAGAATAACATTTTGTAATAAAAATTTGAGTAATTACTGGTGTTAGGGTGTCTTGTAGCCCGCACGGGTAGGTACCACTAACCCACTATTTACCGTCATAGTATAATCAGTCGTGTAGACCTAATGTCATGAGGTGGGCGGCAATCACAGAACACTGTCGACGGGTGCCGATAACCACTTAACTCCAAATAGAACGTGGACTCGTTCATCTACCTCTGCAATATCTATATAGGTATTAATACGTGAAGCAAAAACTTTGTATCCCTTTTTACGAAAATTGCGCGGATGGAGCAGTATGAAATTTTCCACACTTATAGAGAATATAGAGAAGAAGTGCACAATGCTAATATTTTTTTAAAATAATGCATAAAAGATACATTAAATCAATAAAGAAAACATTACACACACTACATACCATGTATTTGACGCACACACGCATGCATACTATTTATTGTCAAACTTTTGTTCTTGACGTCTGTTGTCAAATTGAGGATAGATTAAATATTGTTTGTATCTATACTAATATTATAAAGAGGAAAGATTTGTTTGTTTGTTTGTTTCGAATAGGCTCCGAAACTACTGGACCGATTTGAAAAATTCTTTTTCCATTAGAAGCCGACATTGTCCCTGATGAACATAGGCTACTTTTTTTATTTTGTTTTAATTTTTTTTTTTTGGTTTCATGTGTGTTTTAATGTTTCCGAAGCGAAGCGAGGGCGGGTCGCTAGTTTGTTAATATTTTTATAGTGTAGTCTTGGCGAAATTTGTAATTAGAGAAATATAAAATACAATCATAATAGTGTACAAACTTACAATTCCAATTAATTATAGTCGAATTTCGACTACTGCGGGACCTCTAGTTTGACAAAATATGCGACATGCGCCCTTTTCAAATTGCATATTCAATTAAACATGCCATATTCAATTTTCTCGTGAAACAGACGCGTGGTGTTTTCCCCGGAAGTACCCATACGGTTGGACTACGTGGGCAAACGCGTGGACCTGTCGTCTGGTCCGGTCGCTGGCCTGCTCATGGGACTGGGACAGCTCAACTGCTCCGAGCTCACACTGAAGAGGCTTGACTACAAGTACGTACCCTGCTACCTACCTACCGTAGCGTACCGTACCCTACCGCACCGTACCCTACCGTAGGTACCACCATCTTGCCATTTCTGCCGTAAATCAGTAGTGCGTTCCGGATTGAAAAGTGGGGCAGCCGTTGTACGTAAAAAAAGAAGTGACTCCGAACTCATATCTCAAATTGGGTGGCGGCATTGACGAAGGGCTCTGGTAACCACTTAACACCAGGGCCAGAATAATAATTTAAAAAAACATGTGTGCTATTCACACATTCTTTCATTCTTACTGGTGGTAGGACCTCTTGTGAGCCCGCGCGGGTAGGTACCACCACCCTGCCTATTTCTGCCGTGAAGCAGTAATGCGTTTCGGCTTGAAGGGTGGGGCAGCCGTTGTAACTATACTTGAGACCTTAGAACTGATATCTCAAGGTGGGTGGCGCATTTACGTCCTAGATGTCTATGGGCGCCAGTAACCACTTAACACCAGGTGGGCTGTAAGCTCGTCCACCCATCTAAACAATTAAAAAAAACATGGAAGAAGTGAAACCTACAAACATAATGAGACGAATGTAAAATTTCGGGAAGAGGATAATTATTATTATTGTAGGTTTTAGTAATGATCATAGCGATACAGAGTTTAAAAATTATTTTACCTTTTATTCGTATATATCACATAGATTTATTCAGAATGTATTAAGTACGAATATTAGGTACGAAGCAGAGCTAAAAGAGAACCACGAATATAAGAAACACTGCTAATGCTTCCTGTATCATTTTATGTTGTCTCTTTTTACTGTCGCTATTTCGTTTTTTTTTATAACAACTAAGAGGCAAACGAGCAAGACGGGTCACCTGATGGTAAGTGATTCACCGCCGCCCACGGTCACCAGCGTTTACGCCAGTGCGTTGCCTACCCTTCAGATAAGAATATGCTCTTTTCTTGAATAACCCAATGTCGCTTCATCGTTTCATCGACTTTCGAATTACAACATATCCGGTCATCGTTCTCGTCGAGCCCGTCTCTTGCGACGAAGGGCTCGGCGAATAAATTAACCCACAGATACCGCCCACTGAGTTTCTCGCCGGATCTTCTCAGTGGATTGAGTTTCCGACCCGGTGGTAGATTCTGCGAAGCACTGCTCTTGCTAGGGTTAGTGTTAGCAACGACGTCAAGTTTGAGCCCCGTGAGCTCTCCTAATTTTTAAGGCCACGTTAAAATGGTCTAGATCATAACTTAGGTAGGAAAAAAAGATGCTAAAAAATTATGACAGATTTTGTTTTTTTGCAGACTTGGATTGTTGGGCACGGAGAAACTAGTTCAGTGGGCGTTGCACGAATGGCTCTCCGACATAAAGAGGCATCAACTACCGGGATTGCTCAGTGGAATAGGACCGATGCACTCGCTTTTACAACTCAGTAAGTTAATTTAATGCTTTCTTCTCTACTTATTCGTAGGTAGCCTAAATTGCTATATTTAGACAATTACAAACGTGCGAAATGAGTCATAAATCATTTTTATCAGACCTCTCGCTCACACGTATACGCATATCGGATCTCTCGCTCACACTTGTAGTGTTGTTTGTGTAAAATTTAAATCAATACAATTACACTAAAAAACGTTGTTTTTTTTCCGTGTCACTCTTTAATTCGTTAAACACTATCAACACATTACGAATAACCGAACGAGTTTGGGCGTTAATGTCGCCCTTTAATTTTAACATGGTTAAGTTATCGAATAATGCTTCCATGGTTCGCGTAAGATTGTCTAATTAACTAACTAACTCAATTTTTACAAACACCTACAACCTACATTTTACATGTACCAGTCATCGACGACCACGCCAATTGACTACCCGAACCCGAGCGGCATCCCTTTATCGATATCGAGTTGCGCGGCATTGTCACATTCCTTTGACGTAATGTTTTATGACTCAGTTCGCTCGTTTGTAATGGCCCAAGTATAGTCCAACTATGCGCGGACGGCTAAGCGAGCTCACGGGTTCGACCTGAGAGGGGCTAATAATAGCCGTAGCAGAAGCAGTGCCTCGCTGAATCTACCACTTAGAAGATCCGGCAGAAATTTTGTGGGTTAACTTGCTGCCTTACTGCTTGTTTCACGGCAAATTCAGACCGATATTCTTGAATAAGTAACAAATATTATTCATTCCCAATGTCTAGTTATTACTAATTATGAATCATTTGTTTAAATGTCATTGTATATTCCAAAAATCTAACAAGTGTATAACGAATGTTGAAAGCACGTTCTTCGACTTCAACTAAAGCAACAATCGTTCGTGAAGAGGAAGTCTCTTATATAATATTGTTGGGACTGTCACACCAAAAAGCACTATTCGGGCTTATGCCTAAGTCACATTTTTGCACGGAACGCGATGCGACATAAATCAAAAGTCAACTTGACAAGACTTGCTGTAAATATATACCTATCTGCCCGCGTGGACTTAAAATACGCTCTATCGCTTGACGTTACGAGATTATGGACCGTGAATTTACTAAAGTAAATAGTGCTAGTCCTTTCAAGTAACTTAAAAAAATGATAATAATATTATGTGAAAGAATTATATAATACATACTTTATTAATATTATAAACTAGCGGACCCGGCGAACTTTGTTCCGCCACACGGTTTGTTTCACACACATCAACCGGTTAACTTCAAAATTCTACTATAATTAACCATAGAACGTTTAGCTGTCAGTTGATATCAACCGGTTAACTTCAAAATTCTACTATAATTACCCATAGAATATATTACGTTTAGCTGTCAGTTGCGTTTTGTTATTCCATATCAGTTGCGTTTTGTCATACCACGTTTTATGTCACGTCCCATGGGAATGTGATAAAAAGTATCCTATGTCCTTCTCCTGGTTCTAAGCTACCTCTTCAGCAATTTTCAGCCAAATCAGTTCAGCCGTTCTTGAGTTATAAATAGTGTAACTAACACGACTTTCTTTTATATATATAGATGTGAAAGCGCGTTGCTTGATTGCTTGTGTGTTTGTTTGTTAAACACGAACGTTAAAACCCGATAACGAATTGACATTATATTTTTTAAACTGACAGTTTTAGATCAGAAAAGTGAAATAAGATACATTGTATCCCGAACAAAATCTCTATCGAATACTACACGAACACTTCCTACAATTCTTTAACTGCGCGAACGAAGCCTCGGGTAACAGCTTATATGGGAAAACTATTTTAAACTATTCTATGCCGGTTGCGGTACTAAAATGAATGATTGGAGTAATTTTGTTTGCGAAGGTTAGACTAGAGTATAACGCGAAATTAAACTATAAATGTAGTTATAATTATGATTGATTATATTCTTCTGCAGCATTATCTAAAAACCAGTAAAATTATCTAAAAACCAGTTATTGGTGTTCAATAAAGTACTCTCCCTCCCTCCCTCTTGTTCTCTCTCACTCTCTCCCTATTATCATCAAAGCCGCCACCGTCAAGTCGTTAATACGTTTACAGTAACCGGCATCCGCGACCTGGTGTGGCTGCCGGTGGAGCAGTGGCGGCGCGACGGGCGACTGGTGCACGGGCTGCGGCGCGGCGCGGCCTCCTTCACGGCGCGCACCGCCGTCGCCGCGCTCGACATCACCACGCGCATCCTGCACCTCATACAGGTTACAACAACACTACGTCATATTTGATGAGGGTAGGAACTAACCGGGACTTTTCTTACTGGTGGTAGGACCTCATGTGAGTCCGCACGGGTAGGCAGAAATAGGCGGGGCACCGCCCCGCCTATTTCTGCCCTGAACCAGTAATGTGTTTCGGCTTGAAGGGTGGGGCAGCCGTTGTAACCATACTGAGACCTTAGAACTCACGTCATTTCATAAAACAGACGTCAATGGGCTCCAGTAACCACTTAACACTTATCTGCCTATATGCAGGAATTTAATAGGTCCTTGACGCTTCTAACCAAGTACTAAACCAGATCACAATTCACTAACGTTTTTTTTATTTATTTCTGATACACTCAATGTAACATAATTACTCCGGTGCAGGCCACAGCAGAGACAGCATTCGACATGCTGACCCCCGGGCCGACCCTGCAGCTACAAGACGCGTACAACCGCCGGGAGAGGCGTCGCCGGCGGCGGCTGGACCCCTCGCGTCACCCTACCGACATCAGAGACGGAGTGGCCAGCGCCTATCAAACAGTCCGAGAGGTATAAAATTCATTTAATCAAGGGTTTTCTTTCTGTAGATCATACTGACGAACGCACAATTCCCGTCGAACCCGTCTACCACCGGATTGGAAATGCGACCCACTGAGAAGATCCCGCGAGAAACTCAGTGGGTTGTGTCTGTGGGTTAACTGACGAGAACGATGACCGGTGCTTGGGATGCCTAGAAGCACCGTTAGTGGATCGGGGGGATCCGAAATGACGGGTTTTGGGTGACGTCGACTGTTTACCATTCGGTACGCAGGATCGGGAAAGCGACTACGACGAGAGGGTTTTCTTTAGTTAGTTTTTTGTTTTTATTGCTTAGATGGGTGGACGAGCTCACAGCCCACCTGGTGTTAAGTGGAGTGAGTACTGGAGCCCATAGACATTACATTACATTACATTACAACGTAAATGCGCCACCCACCTTGAGATATAAGTTCTAAGGTCTCAAGTATAGTTACAACGGCTGCCCCAAACCGAAACGCATTACTGCTTCACGGCAGAAATAAGCGCGGTGGTGGTACCTACCCGTGGGACTCACAAGAGGTCTTACCACCAGTAATTCTTGAAGTTTCACTATATTCCGTGTGTGTGTGTTGGCAGGGCTTCGCGGAGACAGCGGCGACGGTGAGTCTGGCGGCGCGCGAGTCGAGCGGCGTGGGCGTGCTGCGCATGCTGCCCGGCGCCGCGGTGTCGCCGCTGCTGCTGGCGGCCGCGGGCGCCGCCGACCTGCTGGGCGGGGTGCGCGCCACGCTGGCGCCGCACGAGCGGGGACACTGCGCCGACAAGTGGCGCCGCCACCCTACTCCGGGTATGTAGCACCCAACTCATTATGTGCTTTACAAACCATTTTATACGCCTTGTAGGCAGACGAGCATACAGCCCATCCAAGCCCGCGCCGACCCCCGGCAGTGCCTGTGTGCGAAACCCACGATGCGCCTCCTATTTTTACGAATCTTCATGTTTCAATGTATTTTTTTTATTATTTGTTAATTTTGACTTATTGTTTTAACTATTATTGCTTATTATCTATACTAATAATCTAATATATAAAATTCTCGTGTCACAGTTTTCGTTGCCATACTCCTCCGAAACGGCTTGACCGATTTTGATGAAATTTTTTGTGCTTATCCTGTATCTATGAGAATCGGCCAACATCTATTTTTCATCCCCCTAAATGTTAGGGGTAGTCCACCCCAAAATTTTTTTATTTATTTTTTAGACAAAATTTTTTATTTCTATTTTTTTAAGATACAACATACAAAAATACATACAATCCTCAATTTTCACCCTTCTACGATCAACCCTTATTTTTTATTTGCTAATTAAAAACTTTAAATTTTTTTTGCGAGAATTTTGTTTTTATTTTGTCATGACGTAGAATAAAAAAAATAATATTACTCTGAAATTTTCACCCCTCTACGATCAACCCCTATTTTTTATTGGTTAATTATAAACTTTAATTTTTTTGGCAAGATTTTTATTTTTATTTTGTCATGAGTTAAAATAAAAAATCTGATGTTACTCTCAATTTTTCATCCCTCTATGATCAACCCCTATTTTTTATTTGTTAATTATAAACTTTAATTTTTTTGGCAAGTCTTTATTTTGTTTTGTCATGACTTAAAATAAAAAAAATCATATTACTCTCAATTTTCACTCTATACGATCAACCCCTATTTTTCCATCCCGATTAAAAAATTTTTTATTCTATGCATAGATCCGCAATAAGGTTGCAAGATGGCAATCAAATATTATAATTGTAGTACGATAAATTCTTATTCAGAGTTTATAATTTCAAGTTCCTTTAATTATGATTTTTTTTAAATTGAATTTGATCTCCCGCCCTCGCCGGTCCACTACTGATCAACTATCAATCGATCAGCTATCCCCGCCAGGTGTCACCACTCATCCAGCAAACATCACGTAGTAGGGATGAGGACGAAGCCGGTCTCCTGTCTTACTTACTCACTATACATCATAGATTATACACTTAATATATTTGAGAGCTATACAATACTATACATTTTTCAGCCATGTTTTTTTGGTTTTATTTGTGTATCAATAGTATGTTTAGTAGGTCTGAGAATCGGCTACTATCTATTTTTTATACCCCTAAGTGAAAAGGGTTGTCCACCCCAAACATTTATTATTTATTTTAATTTTTTGGATATATTTTTTTTGTTTATAATGAGGTATTATGTGGTTAAATGAGGTTTTTTTTCTACAGTAGAATTTCCCTAGAAATCTTATTTAAGGCAACACAACGTTTGCCGGGTCAGCTAGTAATATATAAATCTACAGTGGCTTTTACGGATGTTCCGTTATAACTACTGAACCATGCATCCGATTGACTTGAAACTTGGTACCAATGTAGAAAATACATGTACTTAATGGATAGGCTAATATTTATATGAGTGTTGGACTCCCTAATAATAATGACAATAAATAATAATGGTAATTTTAAATGCCCAGCGAAGCGAACGAGTACGGCTAGTTATACTATAAATGCATTGTATGTTTTGTTATTTACAAGACGTGTTGCGCTTATTGTACCTACTTACTTATCGATACGGCACTACAAAGGATTTGTTGTTGTGTACCTAAGTGTAACATAATTTCGGTGGCGGCGCCTTATTATCTTGGCACCTGTGTGCACCTGATGGTGAGTGGTTACCGTCGCCCATGGACTTCAACAATGCCAGGGGCAGAGCCAACCCGCTGACTACCGATGATTGAACTAATTACATAGGGGAAGTGAATGCTACCTCGAGACAATATTGAAATCTAAACTGTATTAGTCGCTCTGCCCTTCGGTCTGAAACACATGACTGCTTCACGACATAAAAACGTTGAATTGTGGTACCATACATCCTACCCTGCCTGACTGCGTCCTCCTACCTTGCCTACCAATCAACTAAATAGCATATGCACAAAAATACTTTCATTACCCTATTTCGTAACTAAAATCTGTGAATGATTAAGAAAACAATGTAGTAATTGTATTTATACAATAATGATATCGAAGAGTGAAAGGCTATTAATGGCTCAACCAACTTTTTTTTTACAACTTTCACAAAAAAACTTCTTAAGCTATTTCAATTAAGTAAACTTACCTGAAGTTCAATTAAAAATATCGAACTGTTGATGCCAATACCGAATAAAACGCACCTTTAATTACAAAGATAAATGTCGCTTAACCCAATAGCCTTTCAGCGCTCGATATGTCAATATTGTTACGCCGGTAAGAGTAACGCCATCTGTCGCCTAATGGCCGAAACGAATATCAAATGAACCCGTAACGTCGAGAAGTCTAGGGAAGTACAACGCCATCTATTCTCAGATAGCGGGAACACACATCGAAGTTACTCGACTTGCCCAGAATGTTTTCGATAAATCTAGGGATGTCGTCTTGACTATAAAACGGAGATGAAACGCAATCAGCTAGTAATCGGAACTACTCGAAGCGAAACAGCAAACGGATAACCTGAAGTGAAGCGGAAGAAGTGAATTAAGAGTTTTAAAGTGTTCTAAGTTAAATACAGTTTTAAGTTGTACTTTGGTGGAACTTTTATTTATCCCGAACTCAAGCGCCTAACAATATGATTCACCGTATTGTCTCTTCTTCTTTTTCTGCACCTTATCCCACTAGGTGGGGTCGGAACAGCTAATTTTTCTATTCCATTCTCTTCTATCAGCCGTCATCTCAACACTCACTCCTCTCTCTCTCTCTCATATCGTCATTCACACACTCCATCCATGTCTTCTTTGGTCGACTTCTTCCCCCCTCCACAATTCACCTCTCTCTATGATTCACCGTATTTTGTGGGGTTATTTTACAAAATATACTCTTCATTGCAGACGCCGTGGACGATTGAACCGATGAAGAAGGCTGACGCTGACCGATCTCCTCGCAGACATCTCCACAACTACCTTGATATTAATCTTAAGACTTTCAGACATATTGGCCTATAAAAATAAAATAATTTTACACGTACATCTAAATAACTTTGTTATTCATTCGGAACAATGCTTATACCTCGCCGTAGAGTGGCAGTATATGAGTATATCTGATTACAATTATGTTTAATTAAATCGTTTGGTCACACACCAAGTAAGGTAATGTGAAATTTACTTGTCTTCAGAATCGATATGGTTAAAATTCCTAATGGAATGTTCTAGAAAAGGATCTATCCTATTTTAAGTGAAAATTATTAAAATGAGTACTGATGGCTGTTGATTTGTGACAGTTTTCGTCTTTCGATTTCTATGACATGTTATCACTTAAGACTTCATGAACTGTGAGCTCGTCTGCAATTTATAACAATACAAAAAGACATAAGATATTAGCGTATTGATTAAAAAAGTAGAAATGATAACAAAATCCATCAGATAAAATTTAACAAATACATGTTAATAATAAACCAAATATATATTAATATTTTACGTTCATTATTTGTTTAGATAAAACGGATGAGCTCATTTTATGCTAAGCAGTTAGCGGAGTCAATGGAAAACAAAATTTGAATCCACCCACTTTGAGACTTGAGATATACAGAGGTCGTCTCATTTGGACGTGTTACTGAAATTATATATTCGAGGAAATTGAAGATAAGTTGTTGAGGCTTCGACCTCAAAGGCCTCAACGTTCCGCGTCCCCATTATGTAGATACTAAAAATAAATCTCGATTTTCATTTTAAAAAGTTGCATTGAGTGTTTGAAATTGTGACAGATACGTACTTTATTAAGATTTTATGGGCAAGTCAAGCAATACTTCCTCTTGAGTTTTTAGAAGCTATATATTACAATACGTTAAAAACTATTAGCCATTAGAAGACATTGCGGCTGAAATATGTTAAATTTTGTATTGTGTATTTCATTCGATAACTTAAGTGCAGTTGCATGCATTCAATAAATAATATTAATTTTATTAAATATATACTTATATCTCATGGTGGGTGGCGCATTTACGTTGTAGATGTCTATGGGCTGCAGTAACCACTTAACACCAGGTGGGCTGTGAGCTCGTCCACCCATCTAAGCAATAAAAAAAAAAAAAAAATGTAGTGGCGGATAAGTGAGTCGCCACGTGATAAATATCGATCGCGTTTATTGAAACTAAAAGTGTTTTTTTATTGGTATCTTTTTTTTATAAAGTTGTGATCTATTTTTGTACGAAATTGCGTAATAATAGGTATGCATGCGTTTGTTAACAATTTAAAAGTGTTAATATAAATTTCATGTTATTAACGTTTTGAAAAAGTAAAGAAAAATCTAATATTTGTTGCGTTATCAACAGTGATTACATTTTTTTGTTAGCTTGGTTTTTTTTCATTGGCAGCGAGAGTAGACAGACCTACTACGGCTCCGTTTGTCGTAAGCGATCCCTGTCGCAGACGTGTATGCGATATGTAATTGTAAAGTTAAGAATGCCTACTGTTACCAGCACAATAAAATGAACAGAAAAAAAAAAAAAAAAAATAAAGACGGTAATTTTTTTACAATACATCACTTGATTGTCACAGAGGCAACATGGATGTGGCATAAAGATATGCAATCTAATTTATTTTTAAGACTGTTTAAATTTAAAACACTTCTAAATTAAACCTTTGACGGTTTAATCTCGCGTTTATTATTCGATCAGTCGTCCAGTCCACGAAAATTTTATGATTATTATTATATCATAATTATTATTATTATTATTATTATTCGTAATATCGAAAATTGTAATAAATGCGTGATTAAAACGAATTTTAGGGCAACAAAATGTTTGTATTCTTTCTAACGCTGAAAACATATCAATCTGAAAGTCAAATCATATGACTCCCGCATGTATTAATTACTACAACAGTAATACAATTTGTGTGTTCAATCGAAATATCCACTGGGTGATATTGTTGACTGATTGTTTTGACAGAAATAAGTTTTGATTCCTGGCAACACAATATAATTTTACGTTATATGTATTCTCAATAGTTTTGTTAGTTTTACAATTAATTTCGAGTTTAAAAAGACTGGTGCCCCAATTCGTATTTATCTAGCATTTTAGAGCATTTTTAGCTGTTTAACCCGCTACACATTGATGAGACCACAATAAAAATAATGTTAAAACTGAAATACCGAATTAATTTGCCATTATTACGTCACTAGTCTTCATCGAAAATTAATGATAGTTAATTTGAAATATCCTTAAAACTGTCGTGCTTTATTATTTTTTTACTTAATATTAGATAGTAGTAAAATGTAACGGGTGCGTTTGCAACGTTTATACAAAATAGCTCCTATCTCGCAGTGGTCAAGAGCGAAATTTAAAAAAAAACAAATTTTCAACACGTACACTTATTTTGTTACTACGCGAAGTAAAAAAAGTATAGAGCACTGTATCAATGAAATTTATCTGACAGGCACGTGCCGTTGAAATAACTACCGTCCATCTGGGTAACTTTGTCCCGACATGCGAACAATTTTGTATTTATTGTTTTAGTTTTACTGGATATTAAATAAATAAATATTTAATAACAATCACGCCACGTTAACTGGTCCCGTGCTAAGTTCGTAAAGAACTTGTGTTACAGGTACCAGATAACGGAAATAAATGTAAGATTTTTATTATACACGTACATATATTTAATATACATCCATAACCTTGGAAAATACATTTTATATTTATCATACAAATATCTTCCCTTGGCGGGATTCGAACCACCTTGTGTAGTGACCATGTCACTTACCACTACACCAGACGGCGGTTTATAAAAAAAAAAAAAAATGAATTTTCCGTGGGTTTTAAACGTTTACAATTTGTAATTTGAGTGGTTTTGCATGAGCATAGAGTGCAAATATCACAAAATTGACAAAAAATTGTGGGCCAATGTTAAACGGAAAGCTTAAGTTACCCTGATTGACGGTAGATATTATTATTAGATGAATATCCTATTCGTATACTAATTGTTTAAGGGGATACAATAAATCGGGTGCCATGACACGGAATGTTAATTCCGAAATTAACTTTGAATTTTACGATAAATTCTTGAACGTCTAGAATTATTCAAATTTTTTATTTTCTTTTTATCATTTACGTTTAAGAATTTTTTATTTTAGTTCGTGTGATACCTTTTTTTTTTAGTTTAAGATATTTTAAATCGATAGAACAATTAGTTTGAGAAATAAACAAGAGAACCACGATTTTGTGTGTTTTATTTAAGAAAACAGTTCTAATTCTTTATTCGACTTTTTTCTGCTCCCGACACCTAAATTACTTGTATAGTACATGTAGGAACCAAAATCGTTCGAGCAAATCAAGATTTAAGGCTGATTCCCAATTCCCACCCATCACAATTCCCACGCAGTGACCGAAGTTCATAGTAGATTCAAGAATAAAAATATGTAACACGAAGGCCGAGTCATATACTTGATAGTACCGCGCGGCCCTGCATAATATCATCAAAGTGGGGATGACCCTTAGATCTAGAACCGATATGCCATTTCACAAAACTTTTCTAGATTATTTTTTCAACGTACCTTTTTTTTTATTTTTTTTTATTGCTTAGATGGGTGGACGAGCTCACAGCCCACCTGATGTTAAGTGGTTACTGGAGCCCATTGACATCTACATCTACCTTCCCGCTATATCGCTCTGGAATAAACTCCTCACCCGCGATGTTTGCTTATGCACAAAGTGTCTTTGAAACGAAGCTCTAAAAGAGATAACCAGCTAACGACATGGCTGTACCGACGGTGACTATTTAAGACCACTGTGCTTAGTGTGAGTTTTTTAACGTCCTCGACAGCGTAAAAGTAACTCAAATTTGTATACAGTTAGAACAACGCCCCTAGCGACAAACTTATGCAAGCGTTCCAAATCCATACAAAGATTTAACTTTTACGCTATGGAGAACGTTATCAAATTCGCACTAAGCGCACAGGCTGATTTTTTTTTATTGCCCTTGTAGGCAGACGCGCACGCGGCCCACCTGATGGTGAGTGGTTACCGTTGTCCATGGACTTCAGCAATGCCAGGGGCAGAGCCAAGCCGCTGCCTACCGCTTAATACTCTCCACAAGTCTCGTTTGAAGGAGGTTGATTGTTTGTTTGTATCGTTTGATTGTATATGCATCGGCCACAATGATGATAGTAATCAAAACGGTTTAAAATTGACGTGTGATCCAAAATCATCAGCGTTCCGTCACGCTTACAGCTTATAATAAAGTCACAAAGTCGCAAACGATCCTCTTAGATCAAATTAACGATCACAGTACAGTAATAAATTTTCTAGTCGCTACTCCACCAGACTGGTTTACAGCCAGACAAACAATAAAACCGATGGTTACTAGAACTTACTTCAAATTTCACTGCATGAATGCCAATATCCACCCAGGGTATTTCCAGCCTTTAAAAGATATGGACTGTTTCGAATGATTAAGTTGATGATACCTACCTAACTGTGCAGGCTAATTCTTGTACTTTTTTTATAGGTACCTGACAGTAAACCATGACCATGCCTCGATAAGATTACAAACACAGTGACTCCTACAATCGAATTTTGAAGCAATCGTTGAGCTATTTCTTTTCACTTTCATGCATTTTAAAATGAAAATTAACATATTGCAATTTAAGTCATTTATTCTGATTATCGACTGTGCGCATCATCGAACAGGTTTAACGAGCTTCGCAACATTTATTTTCGCATTCAGTCAGGCTTTCAAAGTTATTGGCATTGTGTCCGCACCCTCCATAAATGAATGCAACGCATTTCCCCAGAGATGAATCAAAGGCGTATCTGTGAGACAAAATATATTAACACATCGTGCTTATAACTATTTGAATTCATCTTAAAATCTACACATCCATAATAGCATTCGTGAGCTATTCTTAATCTTCCTATAGCGTGCTGCGTAAATCGTTCAGAAAGTATGCAAAGTCGCAGCAACACTCAGACTAGGTAGGGCAAAGATTCGAGAGAAGACCTACCAAGGGTCAATAAACCTTCTTTTCCTCCTTTTTT